CGCTCTCAAATTGTTCAATTGTTCGACATGAGGGATAAAATCTGTATCTACTAGCAAATAATTTATAACATATAATACATCTCAAGTCAAATATTTAACTAATGATGATCACATTTTTTGAATTAAGCATATAATTTCGTTATTTAGTTTTCCTGTATTTTATTTGTATGTCAGTATAAGGGCATTATTAAAGTTATTAATTGAATTGACTGAACAATATGGATAGCATATTACTAAAGCATGGTGGTATTATCCCCACAACATAATCATAAAACATTTCTACCGCATAAAAATGTATTTTCAAGTATGCATCTAGCTTTGTCTCTTTTGTGGTATTCATTATTTTTATCAGTATTCTCCCTCTTCTTCCGCCTGTATTAAAACCCCGATACGTGCTTATGTCATCAAAAAATAAATGTTTGTTCGCACTACTTTGAATCTACTACCTAGATAAAAAATATACTCATAACATTGCCAAAATAATTAATTTACTTATAAACAAAAGCTTTTTTATAACATAAACTAATTGTTAATACATTGATCGAAACAAATTAAGTCCATTAATTTTTTCCTAATATAAGCACCATAGAATCAAAATATTTTATTTTGTCAAAATTGTTGTTATTATAAAAAAAAAAATAATAATTATTTACCATGTTATATCTTGTATTTTATATTATAAATAACAACTTGTAGATTATCGAAGTTTTAAATTCTCTATTTTTGGATCTCAATAAAGATCAAAAAAAAACAAACATAAAATACAAATACAATGTTTATACATTTTCATAGAAAATTACAATCTCACCAAAACACATTAATTTGAAATAACATTTCAGCAATAATATTAGGCATAAACAACTTAGTATGAAAGTTAAAAGATCATGTGTGCTGTGATCTCTCAAAAATTTAACCTAAATAATTAATAATTTCAATTAATAGAGTAAGATTTTATCGTTAGATTACATCTTTTTTTCTATTAATATTTCTGTCAATTATTAGTTATTACACTCATGTATGCAAATTGCTTACATTTCACAATATATTTCTTACTATTTATTTATACTTTAAAATTTGTTTATTGAACTTTGACATGTATTTTAAATATTCAATATAAAAATATGCACTAAATTTTAAACTTAACCTATATTTTTTTATATGAATTTATTACATACTAAATTAATTAACCTAAACCTAATCTTGTAAAATTTATTTTTTTTTTAGAAAATTCACAAAACATAATATTTTATAATGTGTAATTAATATTATACTTTTTAATATTTACTTTACGTTATTTTATTGTTTAGTATTAAAGCATGCAACTTAAATTAAATAAGAAACCATAGTAAAAAAAAAAAAAAAAATTAAATTATTTTCACTACTGAATTACTATTTTTGAGATTAAACACCTTTTAATATAGTTGATTAGGTAAAAAAATATCTTACAATAACTATCTAATGATGTATTTAAGTTTTTTGTGTAAAAATAAAAATATAATCTCACGCGCACTATCGTCTATACATAAATATGAAATGCAATTTTGTTGTTTTTAATCAAAAACCTCATCGACAATTGTATTTTAAGTATGTAGATCAGTTTATTTAATATGTGAAAACCAAATAAATGCATATGTACAAGCCTAAATTATTAAATCTTTTTAAAATGTGTAAAAATCACTGGCCTGTAAATATCAAAACACGAATACAAAAAATATATTAAAGACAAATAAGTACATCGTTTAACAAACTCAACGCATTTTTACCAGTTCTATTACGTCTTGTCATTTACCCAATAAAAATGCATATAATATTTATAAACAAACAGAAAAGTGTTGGTTTTAAATCAAAGAAATCTGAATACATGGTTTTAAAGCACTATGAATAAGTAATTAGTTATTATTATTATCTTTTAGTATACCTTACCAACACTGCCTAGTGCCTACCTACTATGCACATATAGACACGTCTGTGTACAAACAAAACGAAAAGCTATTAAACATCAATGCCCGACAAACAAACACTCAGAGAGGGATTTATATTTAATTCAAGACTCAATTTTCCGTTTTTTCCCCTCTCTAACCCCATACTCTAAACTGTTAGGAATTTATTATCTTTATTGACACCATCGACTCAACTGAAAACCCCGTAGGTAAGTTAGGTTAGTAGATGCATCCACATTGAAAATAATAGGAGAAGAGAGAACCATTATGTATAGGTCACGCTGTAGATGACATACCACTAAACATCCTCGTATACATTATTAATATACGGTATACATAGGTACTTATACAAAAAGAATATTAAACGTAAATAAATATTAAGTGACACGCCATTAACCTAAACAATTAAAACGAAACTAAAGAAAAAAAAATGTATAAACCTATATTTATAAATTCATTTTAAACTTTTAAATAACATATTCTAAAGCAACAGTCACGTTTATCGTATGGTTTAACAATTTTGATACCAATGTTACCCAAATGGCAATTACAATATTCATATTTATCTTATGTACTGAATTCCTTGCTATGAATAGGGTACAATATATTAAATGCAATAACCATTGAAAACTATAATATAAATCTATTATGATAACAAAGCCACGTAACTTTCACACAAATTATTTTCTCTGACTTTGTAATAAAAAAAAAAATTATCGAGCATAAAAATATAATTTAAAATTTTATAATGAAAATTACTCGTATATAATAGCTCATATATTCCCAAATATGATATTTTATAGCTCTAAGAATTATCTTTATATGTAAAATGTAAAGATATGGAATAATAAGACTATACAGTATCATGAAATACACAATACAAATAGTAAAATACAGCTAAACACGATTAACTGACTATTAAATGTTTACTTAAGTTTGAGTGTTATTAAAAATACTACTGAACATTTATTATTTTATGAATAAAGAAAATAATGGTTAAGTATTTATTATAAATATTGAGGCAAAAAATAATGATAAAAATAAAATAGAAATAATATGTCTACAAAGCATTACTATGAGAGATTAATATAAATTAAAATACAATAATGTAAATAACTCAATATTTAAATTTAATAAATAATAAAGATAAAAATTAAATTATTTTTTCGTACATATACGTTTTAAGAACATAATAAATTAAAAGTTGTTTAATTATAGAATATGACCTATATTCACGAAGCAATTTTCCAATCAAACTAAAAAATCTCAAAGATTAGACAAAAATTTAATTTAAATTACTATGATATGGTTTTTTTTTTTTCAAATATATGAATTCTGGTAAATATTTTTGAAGAATATTACAAATAATTAATGTAACGTTTTATATATAAGAATAAACTGTGACTAAAAAATTATTTTGTATCACTTAATAATTAAAAATATACCCAATATTGTAATATTTTAAAACAAAATAATTTACATTAGAGTGTTTTAATTATTTTTTAATTCCATAGCATAATCAATAAAAAAGACATATGCATAGATCCTCATTGTATAATAGTAACTAGAACATAACCTTAAAATTTAATTAAACAACACAGACATGAATACAATTCATAAACTCAATAAGTCAAGATGGCAACTATTGGAGTTTTCAATCCAGATTTATTGGCATCATAATAAAGTTGACACCTACTTTATATATAGTATTAAATCAGTATCAACAAAAGTTATGCATAATGCATAAAAATATACTTAATGTTGTATAATAAGATTTGATATTTTAATTTTAGCATCAATTTAAAAAACGTATTAATTTTTTCATGGGCCACCAATTGCACGGATCAATCACTTTAAAAAGCATTGTACTGAAAACTTATAAAATTCATATAATACTACTCGTATTATAACTTTTTCCTTTTACACTTACAACAAAAACATTAGCTACGTTACTTTGAACTAAACCTAGTTAATTTGTTTCAATAATATCAATTTTTTTATTAAAGTATAAATAAATTTAAATATAATTTGAAAAAAAATCTTATAAATTACATAATAATGTAATTTTTTATAAAAAGTTAAAGTTAAAATTAGTATATTATCTATAGATACTAGTGTGTTAATATTGCATAGTACAATGTATAATTGAAAACTTTACACTCAAATGTTAACAATATATTAATTAATGAAATATCATTATTCATTAGTTATTTATTATAGTATAATATAATTAATATTTATTTTTTATAACAGTATCATAATAAATTTAAAAAAAAAATCATTATAGTTCTAACTGTCTCAAATTGGAAACTCTAAAAAATACATTATAATATAAATGATTTTATAGCAGTTTGCATAAATAAATTCTAGAAACTAAATCAAACCAAAAAAAAAAAACCCCGAATTTACAAATAAATATTAAAAACTAAACAAACCAACAAAAACAACAATAAATGATTTCATCATACAATAAAATTATAATATATCAAAAACATAATGAAACAAAATGTTAACAAATATTATAAAATGAATTTAAAAATATCAAAAACTTTTAATATTTGTTCTTACTTGTCAATATTTGTATCATATAATCTACCTATCGTATTAACAGCATATTAACCTACACTAAACTCAATAATAAATATCAACAAGAAACTTCAAACAGTACTACTGCGTTAATATTATATACGAATATTAAACCATTAAACCATGAATATTATATACTTTTATGATTATACATCGCAATAACCGTTTTACTGAATATCAAATGCCATTTTGAGCGAAAATTGAGTTAGGTTTCGTTTAAGGATTCAATGACTCACAATCAGTCATGCAGAATAATGTATACCTAGGAAGTTACTGACGTAATATAATATACTAATTTTTTTTCAAAAAATGATGTTTCAACCGCTTGCATTTCATTTTGAACCAGCTTGCACCGCGGCCGTCGACCAAGCTATAATTGACTTTAAAAGAATCTGCGAAATTTTACCCCCACCACCATACAAAACAACAATTTATACTGGTGCAAATATTAAAGCGTCTTATTTCCATACACAGGGTACCAGATCAAACCGATAAGGAACAGTGGTAAGAAAACCGAGGACATTCGTTTTTGGAAAAATGCTGCGGACAACACTGCTACTACACAACCTGACCAGGCCTGAATCGTGTCCATCGTGGAAAACCGAATCTAATAAGTATGAACATTATAATATCCGGACGGCAACAAACCGTCGGGAACTAGAATACTATAATATATGATTTATTACTGTTGTCATCGCTATATTATTATTCAACGTGGGTTGTTATCGCTGTCGATTTACAGAGAGTAGTTCTCCCCCCCTCCCGGGTCGCCAAGATTTTCGACCGGATATTATATTATATTAAGCATATCAGGCTAATGTTTGAATGAAAATCTCAATACTTCTATATAAAATATTACGACCACGAAATTTTTATTACGATCGGGCCAAATACAAAATTCATAAAGATCGTCGAGGTTCGATTCTTTATGCCTATCTCCCCCCCCCCCCCTAATGATTTACCATTTTATGTGTATATGTGTGTATGTATATATGTCTGTGGCACCAGGGTAGTCGCTTTTTCATTGTTATGCCAACAGTTTGACGTGCGCTGACCTTTTTATTTAGCTGTAACTGAAGCTCCCTGAAATTGGACTGTTCAAAGAATAAAATATTTAAGGCCATGATAGACGACAGACACGGCTGCTTTCTACCACAAATAGTGAGTGGCCTTCGAGAAATGGAAAAAAAATTTGGACCATTTTACATCAAATGTTTACTTTTTTTGAGCACTGATCAAAAATATCGTTTTCATATTCGCTGTTCACGCATTTGGGATTAATTTTTATTTTACATCATATTAAAATTCTAGTATCACAGTCAAATAAATAATATAATACAATTCCACGAGCACACGCGCATACCACACTATAATAATAATAATATGTAACACATGATGATTGTTGTATTGTATGTATATATAATTGAAAACTCTATATTGAGTCTGATGACATAGTGCATAGGTAGAAAAACACATGTACTTTTTTTTTAATGACCAGTAAACATGTATCCATCTGTTTGCGGCGGCCGTTGCAAATAACAGAAACCATTTATATTTTATTGGCTATGACAGGTCGGCAACTGGAATAATTTAGTTCCGACGTGTCCCCGAAGCTTATAGAATATATATAGATATATGATTAAATGAATTCTATGTAGCCACAAAATCAATAACAATTCATACATGTTTTTATTGCCATAAAAATAATATTGTGAATCCACTTTAAAGTTTGAAGTAAAAATAAAATGTATCTATAACAAAATTTTTTTTTGTCAGTACTATTCAATTAATTAATTATCCATTTTATCGGTTTTATTCATATATAATATGATTTTTAAAACGTAAAAACCTGTATTTAAATACTCGGCCAATTTACAATATCCACGTTTTGCTTATTTCATCGCGGCCGTTATGATATCATAGTGTGCCCATAATTTCAGTTGTACGGGCTTTTGTTTCAAAATCATTCATTAAAAGGACTTTCCTTCATATTCAAATATTATATATAGATGTTTATTTCGGCTTACAGGATATCTTACATGTAGCCGTTAAGGATGTGAAATTCAAGCATCAACAATTTTCACTCTTTTAAATGTGAATTGTGATATGGTCAAGTGCAGTAGAAGAATAAAATAAGAACATACAAGGAACAGTGAAATTATTATGTAATACCCATAATTTTAATGTAATACTAAAGCTGAATGCGATTGAATACGATTTTAGGTAAGGATAATATTTTAAATATTTTATACTTATGTATAATAATAATTTATTTATTAGTATTATTCATTTGACATTATTTTACACGATAAAAGGAGGATATCCAAATAGACGCTCGTTATTTAACAATAACTATGCGTGATAATACAATATATATTATGTATTAGTTTTGAAATAGGTATTTATAATTAGTAATCAATATAATTACAATTATATTATTTGCGTCACCGAAGAAAAATAATGATCAAAATAACACAAAACATCAGGTGGGCTTTTGAAAAGAAATCTGTCGCGTTCGCTGCTGCTGTTACTTAGGTTTCTATATAGATACTAATACTTTAGACCACTTTTTTACATAAATTGTAAATTTTGATGAATATAATAGTAATTAATTATTCTTTTAACGTATATATTTATAGTAATTATTATTATTATTATTATTATTATTATTATTCATAAAATATAATGAAAACTACAGAAAACTTTAAGGGGTGGTCTTGGTAAACAAAACACGACTATTCGTGCGGCGGTATTGCTAAAAAGTTTCTCGTCATGGACGCTCGGAACAATATCATCTAATAATAATAAAATACGCATTTTAGTTTAATTTAGAAAACTCTTTCGTTAAACTCACAATCCAGAACCCAACTTATATATACAATTAATAATTATACAGTATGTCTGTCTCACCGTGTTTGTCATCCCGCTTACTATGTATAAATGCTACCTATACGATAAAACTTTAAAACCATTTGAATACATAATGTACCTAAATTAATAATTCAATCATTAAAATATTTACATAAATTAGCCTGAATTTTTAAGTTACAGGAATAATAAAATAAAAACAGTATTTTATTATTTCCAATTTAAGTAAACTTAAAACAAAATACTTCAATAACGTTGTCGGTGTTTTCAAAAATATCCAAGTTGATTTAATAACTAAATAATTAAGAAAATATTACGATTCTACTTTATACCTAAAGTTCTATATAGGACTGAGCTACCTTTTGACATAAAATTCATATCATTGTCGTTTCATAATTGGATGATCACAGATCCCGTAAATTTTCCTATTGTTATATTTTGCTTTTATAACCAAACTAAATAGATAAATTAACTCAATTTTTATTTGATTATTTTATAAAAAAAAATGTATTTCAATCATTTTCACTTTTACATACATTTCTGTTATTATTATTTTTAAATTATGGAATTCAGATACAATTCTATACTTTACACAAAGTTAGTCAATAATATGACAATTGATATTTTTAAAACTTGGATACTATTTTATATGAAATAAAAATTTAAGCACATTTAAGCACGAGGTTAAGTTAGGTTGGGTTTGTCATGGTATATGTCATGATTGAATAACATAATTTTCAGATCTAGAATGTATATATACACATATATAAATAAATTATACTACTTATACTCCATTAATAATGATGATATTTATGCGATACGTAAGTTCGCAGATGGATCAAACTGTTGTCAACGGTTCGGTCGCGGTGGCAGTCGGCAACGGCACTGCCGGCGGCGATCCTGGATCGGTGTCTGGCACCAACTGGACCACAGCAGTGGTAGCGCATGCGGACCTAACGCCGGTACTTTCACCGTTCGAGTCCTGGCAAAAAGTCCTCATTGTGATGGTTATCGGCGTATGCATGGTCCTCACCATCACCGGCAACATACTGGTGCTAGTATCGTTTATCGTGGATCGGACCATCCGTCAGCCAAGCAACTACTTCATTGCATCGCTGGCCGCCACGGACATGTTAATCGGTATGGCAAGCATGAAACCTGAAAAATCCAAAAACGCGTCGACAAATTATATGAGCATCTCCCTTCCCCCATCCCCACCCTACTAACACTTCTCGCCAGCCTCGGTTACGAAGTAAAATAAAGACAATACAGTCATCAAGAATCTATACGATATAAGTTCTTGGTGACTGTTTAAACTATACCAAACCTACATAAACTCCACCGTATAGCAACGAATCTACAATATTCTACGAAAACGATAGCTCCGAAATCTCGTCCCAAGAATGCTAGTACGAACTGTGAAAATTTTACTTCATGATACAGGGGGCGCAAATATCTGAGGGTACGATTGTCATATGCCCGCCAATATACCGTGTCAATCGGGAAGTGATGATTTTATATAGCGGTTTACATTACATTTGGAGAGAGTAAACTTATACTATCACGTCGCAAAAACATTTGTAAGTAAGCATATATATAAAGCTGCAGTGATGAATACGCATGACGATTTTTTTCCTTCCTTTTAAACACGTTTCAATCGGAAAATCGTTCAACTTTATTGAGTGAGATGTTTGTGGATGTATACATACATAATACCTATTTAAAAAAAATAGTACAAGTATTATACGATTTTCTATTTTCAGATTGTATTTGAAATAGAACTCATCTCTGGTCATTTATTTGTTCTATTAGCAATTAGCGAAAACCGTTCAGCGTAATAAACGATATAAAATAAAATAAAACACACATTTATTTGTTTTCAACTGACCCTCTTTTCGTGTCATTTTCTTAAATGGTAGAATAGTATGAGATTTTGATTTTAAGGCCGTTAAACTGTTTATTAATTTCATATAAAATAATTGAAATAAATATATATTACAGATGTACAAATGTGTGGTGGTTGGTATACACAATTTCATAAACTTTTATTATGTTTTATAACTGATATCGAAAATCGACTTAAATACTCCAGAAAAAATTGAAAATATTTAACAATTGTAAATTATATTATTTTGGTTATTTTAGTTAAAATCATTAATTAATTTACTGAATCTTTAACATTTGTGATAAGTTATTAACTTATTAAGAACCAAAATTTGTGATTCGTGACCATTCATGTTTAAAAAGATAAATAAACATTAAAATAATTCATTTTTATTAGTTAACATTTGAAGAAAAAAGTGATGTGATAACATTTTTTAATTGGAGTGAATTAATTTTCATGAAAAAAAATAAATATTATTCATAAGTACAGCGCTTATTTTTACTTGATCTAATCTCACATTATTTTGTTCAACACCCATTAAAGAACAACACGTAATACGATATCTGACCCATAATATACATTTTAATTTTAACCGTAGATACTTAATGTAAACAGTAAAACTCTTGTATTTGGAAACAAAGAAAATAAATGTCATTTACCAAAGCCCTACACCGAAGATTCACTAATTGCATCCGACTTCGCGTTTTAAGTTGCGATCAATTGTTATTTGAAATTACTTTCATTACTATTGATTGCGTGTCAAAATATTGTTTAAAATCTTTCAATAGACACACATATTGCTATACATCCTATATATCCAAATCATTTATACTCATCGGGGGCTCGGATACAATTCCAAATGACATGTGTCAAAGTATTATGGAATCGGAACACTAGATTATATAAAATATTTATTATACGTAATCCCAATAGTTTTTTTTCTATTGGGACCTTTGAAATAAATACCATTATCTTTTCTTTTTATTTTGACTTTTGTTCACCTTGACCTGCGTTCAAAATATATACTATGATATTTTATCACTTGCATAAAATATGATTGTTATCAGTGTTATCACATGCACTAAAATGTAAATGTGATACATTTTGGACAACCTTGGTGAAGTTTATTATTGTTCATGAAAAAAAAAAGGAATATAAAAAAAAAAAAAATATAAGGATCTAGTTGAAATTATAATAACAAAAAAAACATTATTAAATTCTATTTTTATTCGTAATCGTTAAAAAATAAATTCGGTGCAGAGAAATGGTTAAAATGCTGTAGGTATTATTAATTTTTTGTACCTACTAATCAATCATAATTAACTTGGATTATTCTTAGAATTATAATAATACTAGTATATGTACCTACCTACATAAATTATTGCCAATTAATATAAACTTTATTATCAAAAAAGTACATATTCAATATTTTAGCAAAATAAATAATTGGACTATTAAATTATTATACCTATAATATAAATAAGTTTCATACGATTTTTGTCAGACAGACTTTTAATATACTACTGTTTCACTTTAATTTAAATTCGTTTTTTATTCGTTAATAATATAATCAATAAGTACTCCGTTCCGCGTATTATGTGTAATAAATAATAATATAGTTTCTTTTATAATTATTTAAGAAACTCAGATCAGAAAATATTGATAAAACGAGTTGAAAAAACCACATGCAAAAATACGAAATTATTTACAATAATAATTAACCTTTTTCCACGCGCTAACGTAAAAATAACTATAGTATAATGACAATAAATTGACGTGGCTCGCACAAAATAAAAACAATTTTTTTCATGAATAATTGTATCAAAATGTTTAAAATATTATAAATATATTTTTTTTTAACTCAAGGTTGAAAAAACAATTTTTTCCTGACAAGTATTAAATAATTAGTAACAATAGAAATTCTTTAATACAAATGTCAATACATTATCATGAAATCTAGCAATTAATAATTTGAAACCTTGCGAAAAGTTAAGGAATTTTCGTATTTTCACAACAGTGAATGGACTGTGGAGTAAGTAAGGTATAGAATTGAATAGTTTATAAAGCTGAGAACAGTCGAACGTAAACTTTCTATAATTACACTACCACAATGATTTCATTGATCCTTTATATTTTATTTTATTAAGCAAAACGTTAACATCGCTTTTTTATTTTGTTTCACACCCACTCCATCAATATTTTGTTAACTTTATTTTAACAAATTTAATAATTGAATTAAAAATCGGAGTGATAAATATTTAATTCCAATCCAGAGTTATTGTTATAATTTTTCAACAGCAATATTATTTAGGTTAATATTTAAATAGATTATACACACTTCGAAAATGTGTTTTATAAATAAAACGGCTATACTTAATGATTAAGTACCTACAATTTCGTGTTTTATTACCCGAAAAATTATTAAGGGATATCATATACTTTATTTACACTCAGATGCTCTGGCATCTACAATTGACAAATTATTATGAACCATGAGTAAGACATAATATTATTAAAGAAATTATGTACAAAATATAATGTAAACGTATGGTACAATAAATTTAAATTATAATATTGTTATAAAAAAATTAAAACAGAAAAAGCAATACATCATCCAGCATAATTCGCAGAGGATTTATCGAGATCATACTTTCCCGTAAGCCCATCGAATGACCTGACAAATTCGAAACCACTTGTTCTTTTGTTTAAAGTCATAATATTTTTAAACGCGATAGTTTATTTGATTCCAAACAAAAATATAGAAATTAAACTCGTTAAAAAGATAAAAAAAAAAACAAAAACAAAAACAAAATGCTAAGATTGCCAATTTTAAAATACCTTTTATCCGACATACTAATATACCTATATTATTTTATCTTAAACAATGCGCCATACAACACTCGCTTTCAAAAACGATTAACATAAACTATTATAATATTTTATTACTTATTAAACAACACGATAATATTTATTAATTCTTTAAAAAAAAAAATCAACAACTCAACGCTTCCTACGAAGAATAACGTAATTCGATTTTTATCATTTTTCAGAAGAGAGGTTGAAAGTTTTAACGTAATTCGAGTTACGTCTTTTTTCTTCGGAAAAATAATATAATAAACTATACCGTAAAATAATTTTGCTGTGAATTTCCAATTAACAATTGACGTAATTCTAGATACGCTCTTGTTCGCTGGTAAACACAATACAATAATGACTTAATAATTGATTTTATTTACCACCAGTTAGGCAGAGTAAATTAAATGCCATCTCTGTTAGAAAATAATGAAAAAAAAAAAAACTAACAGATAACCAAATAAACTGAAAAATGAAAAAAATTGATTATTGAATTACGTATAAGAGCTGTTGATATAGCTGGTTACATATCGAATAATCGGTTAAGATTTTGTTTAGAATCGTTATTTTTTAAATACCACACAAAACAATAACCAATATCTAACCAAAATAGGCAATAATAAGTGTCGTAATGCTTACCACGAAAAACAAAAACATCGCCTAAACAGGTGATCCCAAAACGACGTGTCGGTATAAAAGGGTCTAATTAAGGTCTCTGATAACGAATAAAAAAAAAAAAAATATGAAACGAAACACGCACCCATTTTACGTCGGGCGAACAACAGTACGCCGCCTAAACGGCTAAATCTGTATAAATAATATTAAATTATAATCCAACCGTGACTGAATCGATGTTTCGTCTGTTTGCCACCAACAGGTACAGTGTCGATGCCGTTTTACTGCGTGTACATACTGCAGGGCTACTGGGACCTGGGACCGTTGCTGTGCGATCTGTGGCTGTCCGTCGACTACACCGTGTGCTTGGTGTCGCAGTACACGGTGCTGCTGATCACGGTCGACCGGTTCTGTTCCGTGAAGATCGCCGCCCGGTACCGGGGCTGGCGGACCAAGGACAAGGTCATGTGGATGGTGGTGCTCACGTGGATCATCCCGGCGCTGTTGTTCTTCACCAGCATATTCGGCTGGGAACACTTTGTCGGCTACCGGGACCTGTTGCCGGGCCAGTGCGCCGTACAGTTCCTCAAGGATCCCGTGTTCAACACGGCGCTGATCATAGGCTACTTCTGGACCACGCTCATCGTGCTGTTCGTACTGTACGGCGGGATCTACAAGGTGGCGTACGAGATGCAAAAGAAGAGCGAAGCGAAACAGCGCAAGATGCAGTCGATGGTGGCACTGAGCGCGGGCACCGTGTCCGGCATGGCCGGTCACGCGGCCGGCATAGGAATGTCCAAGACTCAAAGCACTCTGCTCGTGCAAGACAAACCGCAGCAGCAGCAGCAGCAGCAGCAACTGCAGCAACAGCAACAACTGCAGCAACACCAACAACTGCAGCAACAACAGCAACACCATCAAAACCAACAGCAGCAGCAGCAGCAGCAGCAACAGCAACGACAGCGGGCGGCCGGGGGCAGTAACAGATCGGCGACCGGTGATGGTTTCGACGAGAACGCGGCGGCGGCTTGCAGGAACTCGGGCCCGGACGACCACAACTCCGCGGCCGTGGTGGTGGTGGACAAGGAGCGGTCGAGCAGCCCAGCGTTCGAGTCGGACGAGGAGAGCACGACGGGCGAGAAACAGCAGCAGCAGATCAACTGGCCGCGCAAGAAATCGGTGGCCGAGCTGATCGTCCAGTCGGCACTCGTCCAGCGGTCCAACAGCGGCATACACCTATCGCCGTCAGATAATCTCATACCGTACTCCGGTACGTCCGGTACGTCCGGTAACAACAACAACAACAACCACGGTAGTCCGATCGTCCGGTCGTTTTCCAACACGGCCGTCTTCAACTACGGGGCGCCGACAGGGGCGGCGGCGCAACCCTCCCGAACGACGCCGCCCGACACGCCCTCGCCGCCCGACAGCCGGGTGGACGCGCTCGTCGGCATGGACACGAGTGAGCTGCACTTCATGGACGACAGTTCGATCGTCATCGGGTCGCCGACGTTCGAGAGTCCCACGAACAGCACTAGTTCGATGAACGAAACCATGTCTTCGGCCCAATGTTCTCCGGCGCACGGCGCCGCGGCCTCGTCGTCGCTGCTGCAGGCCGCGCTCATCCGGGCGGCCGCGGCCCAGCAGATGAGCCAGTCGTGCGGCACCACCGCCGCCGCCGTCCCCAAGGTCAACACGGCCGTCGTCGTGGACGGCTGCCATCGCGGTTCCACGTGTACCACGACCGTGGTGGTGGCCGGGCGCGACGGCCGCGGTGCAGCGGGTAACGACGACGACGACGACTACGGCGACGATTACGGTGACGACGGCGACGCAGCCGCCACCGGTACCGGCGAAAAGTCCTCGTCCGAGACGACCAAGAGCGGCGGCGGCGGCGGAGGTAGCGGCAACGGGGGCGGCGGTGGAGGGAGTAGCGGCGGCGACAAGCGCGAGGGCAGTTCCCGCGGCGACTTCGTCCGGACCATCGGCAAGCGTCTGAAGGTGAAACGGCCCAAGGTGGCCGGCCGCCAAAAGTCCAAGTCCGAGAACAGGGCCCGAAAGGCGTTCCGCACCATATCGTTCATACTGGGCGCGTTCGTGGCCTGCTGGACACCGTACCACATACTGGCGCTCATCGAGGGCTTCTGCTCCAACCCGCCGTGCACCAACGAGCGGCTGTTCCTGTTCTCGTACTTCCTGTGCTACGCCAACAGCCCGATAAACCCGTTCTGTTACGCGCTGGCCAACCACCAGTTCAAGAAGACACTCACCAGGCTGATGAAGGGCGACTTCCATATATCATAGGCCGCGACTTCCATATATCATTGGCCGCGACGTCCGCCAAGCACGCAGCACCCGTGCGCGCGTGTTCCTGAAAACGATCGTTTCCGGACCGGCGTAAACGCCGTTCGGTTTTCCGTTTCGCGCGGCTCCGTCACTGTCGTCGCACCCCTCCACGCCGATATTACCCACGTGTAACGTTGTTCCTATACGTATGTGCGCGAGATCGCCAGAACGACGTCATTGCAAAGCGGCGATCGAAACGTTCTAAACTTTAACCGCTTTGGCCTGAACACTTTTTGTGCACAATAATAATTATTATGATTTTATTTCGGGTACTTTCGTCAGTCAATAGACGTATCCTCAAAATTCGGGAACCCCTATAAACCTCGTGGGAGCATTTAGGTACGGCATATATTCTTACAATAATCATAACTTTATTTATTAATTCTGTAATATATATATATATATGTGTGTGTGTGTGTATGTATATACATATTATATACATGATTATAGAAATGTTGTAAATATACTCGTAATAATCTATCTTAATAAAAAACAAAAAAAATTAAATTAAAAAAAAAACCACCACAATTGGCTTACTATACGTTAATCGATAAATAACTAAAAATATGTGTAGTACACATTCAGTTTAGTTTAGATTTTTATAGACCTTTTTATTAACGACTTGAAGATTTATCCGTGTAAATAAATATTATTAATTACAATATTATGTATTTTTGAACAGGGTAACATCAAAACTGTACTTTAAAATGTTTAATTATTCTTAAATCTATTGTTTTGTATATATTTTAAGTTATGACATACGCATAAGACATATAAGGTATAATAAAACAATGTGATATTTATAATTATTAGAATCATTGCGACAATATTTACCAATTTAGATTAATGTTTCGTTTAATTATTGTAAAGCTTATAAAAAAAAACGAATCCGGTTCACGGATTAAATGAGCCCTAATCTGTAAATGGAATTCGTTTTCACTAGATTTTAGAAACAAATCAGCTGTATTTTACATATAATTATAGTGTAATTAGTTTATTTTAGCCATTGTTTAGATAATAATATATTTATAAATTATATTAATATTTATTTATATAGTTGTGTGTAACGTCAAATAAATTAGTTATTCATATTTATTACAATAAACAATAGGGATTTTTAATTTATAACGATTGTTGTCTTTCATTGACCTATACTAATATTCAGATAATCTTTTACACGGGAACAAGTTACCTACATTGCGGTTTTATTACTTGAAACCAATTGAAAAATTAAAAATTGCGAAATTCGATCGCATGCAATTTATATAATACATATTTAACCCACTAAGAATTTAGTTTAGTCTTGTTCCCATATGAATCGCGTTCAGTCTTCAATCACTATTGATGAACACTGAAATAGTGAATCTACATTATTATTTAAATAGAAGATAATATTATGTAGGTACAATTACTTTAATGCAGTAAGATAGTTCGATTTCATATAATGAGGATGAAATTTCCACATCAATGCCAAATAAGTTAGGACTGAAATTTGATGTTTAAGATTTATACATAAATTTATTAGAATCTCAAAGGCAACATTATGCAACATGAAATTTATCGGTAAAAGTCGTTAGCACTTTTTAACCCATTTGAAACATATAATTTATATAAGTAACAATGATTTTTTTTATTATAAGTAGATATTACCTATAACTTATATCACCATAATATTAAGTATTATGCAAATATTGCGAATATAAAATATTCGGATGTCGGCCATCGGGCAATGTATCGACTGGTACTATAGATACACAGTGAATATTTACAAAAGATTAAAATAAAAGGTAGAGTTATATAAACATAAGACTTTATAAATAAATGTACATCTACTGTTTCTAATTTAAAACTTTACGCAAAAACTAGCGTGTAAATTAACAACTTTATAAATGGAATTTTAAAATTATTTCTTTAATTACCTATTTGTTTTTTAATATAACTTTCATTGTTCACGACAGTGTAAAATTTATGAAATTCATACTTAATTACCCGCATACCTACTTATTTGAAATCAGCGTAGAATTTTCAACAAAGTTACATCATTTTTGAATTCTTGAATATCTTGAAAATATACATAAAAAATAAAAATTTTAATTGCTTCTGTTTAAAAATTATTTTTCTTGTGAAACATATTTATATACCACAACAAATAAAAAACATACAAAAATAAAAATAAGAAATGACTTACATTGTAGTAATAAAAACAAACATATTACTACGTAATACGTATAACAAGTATACCTGTAGTAAAAAATATTTTTAAAAAAACACATATTTTAAAGTTATATTGTATTTATATTGTAAATACTCGTATATTGTAATTTTTTTTACCGCAAAAATTTCGTGCATGTATTTAAGTTACTTCTTATGGTTGTTATTTAATACAATTACCGTTAATAAGGCTGTTTTTGAAGTCTGTGCCTCAACTAAAATCAGTGGATAGGTCCAGGGCGGTCGGATGCGTAGAATTTATACTACTTAACTAATGTAGTATCTAGATAAGAGCGATTGAGTTCAACGATGATTTAAAAAAAGTAATGAAAATAATATTATTGTATTATAATTATTTATTTGTAAGTAATCTACCAGCAACAATGAAATGGACCTATCCAATCAATCCAAAAATATTCAGTTACCTACCTATAAGGAAATAGTCGTAATCAATTTTACATTATTAATTACTATTTATAGTCCGCAGATCTACACTATTAATTGTGACTATACATTCAAATGTCCAGTACATTTCACCTTCTTAAATCTCTGTGTACCTACAATAACGGAAGTGAATGCGGAACTGCAAGTCTACATGCTATGTATAATTTATTTACAGATGCCTTTGCTTAAAATATTATTAATAAATTCGTGCTGTTTAGTACGAATTATTAACGTACTATAATTATACCGTACTCCGGAACTCGCAATTCAACAATAAATCATTACCTATTAGGTAAAAAATAACAGTATAAAAATTATGAATTATGATTATAAAATGTATAAAAGAATACACTTTTTTTTAATCAACACAAATTATAAATGTTTATAGAATTTTATTTTATGTACCCATCATTTTATTATCATTAATTTTTCATTTAAAATATTTACTCAAAGAATCATAATAATTCTTATAGGATCACTACCTATTATTATCATAGATATCTTATTGCATATGAATAAAATTATGAAATAGTAGTTAAGAGACAAGAAGATGTCAATATCGTGTACCTATGTCACATGCCATTTTTCAATTTTCGTAATCATTAGTCATTACACAAAAAGGGATTATAATATAAAATAATGTAATGAATAACGTAGGTATATCTTATAAAAGGAGGTACTTTTTTATCTTAATAGTAGGTACTACCGGGCACCGACAACCTCTATATCTACTGTAAAATATCTCCAATACATATTACAAAGATATATTATATTATTTATACCACATACACAAAGATATGATATCAAATATTTTTACACACATCGCAATCGCACACCCACTTAAATAACACGCCACTGGATACTGACCCACAAAATATCTAGAATTTCCGAACAGAAAAATATAAGTTTATATGTAATAAAAAATAGGTACATAATTCCAAACCGTTAATAAGCAAATAAATTCGTGATCCACTAAATTAAGTAAATTTTTCGCAATAGGTTTTGAATCAAGATTTCCATTTTCAATAATATTAATCAAAGCACATTTCACTTCAGATAATTGTTTGTAAAGGACTTTTACTGCAGCAGCTTTAGAGGACCATCTAGTATCGGAAAATGGTTTAAGAGTTACTTTCAATGATTTCATCAATATTTCCCAACGTAAAGTAGAACCAGAAAAAAAATTAAATAGTTGTTGAATTTTACCGAACAATAGTTGCATTTGTTTATTTGATCCTACAGCATTTACACCTGCTAAATTTAAACAATGTGCTGTACAAGGTATAAATGTTGCTAAGTTATTTTTTTCTAAAATTTTTGCTTGAACCCCATTATACTTCCCTGCCATATTTGATCCGTTGTCATATGCTTGGCCCCTACAATTATTAATATCCAAACCATCTTGAGATATCTGATGTAATATTTCAGTAGTCAAACCACTACCAGTTTTTTCATGAGATTCTATAAAGCCTAAGAAACTTTCTTCTACAATTACTTTACTACCAGTGACACGAACGTATCTAATAACTTGACTCATTTGCTCTGTTCTTGACACATCTGGCGTGTAATCAAACATTATTGTATAATATTTAGCAGATTTAATTTGATGTATGATTTCATTTCGAACTCTTTTAGACAACAAAGCTATAAACTCATCTTGAATTTGATGAGAAAAGTAATTTATAGAACTTTTTTTATGTGATTCAATGTGTTCTTTTAATATAAGATCATATTTACTTATTAAACTTAACAAATTAAGAAAATGACCTGCGGATGGACTCCCAGGTATGTCTGAATGTCCCCTCAATCCTAAATTGTTGTTGGCACAGTACAATATTGCATTCAAAATTGCTTTTAAAATGTGTCTCCATTTTGCTTCTTGTGATCTTATTTCATTTTGTAAACAGTCATCAATAGCTCCACCATTTTTTAATTTTTTTTCAAAAATTTTGTTTGTTGTTTGAACAACAACGACAACACAGTAAAATTACATACAAAATATAAATGAAAAATGACAGAATAATGCATTTATCACTGGAAATTAATTTTGTGCTATTTTTGTCAGTATCGTCGTTGTTCATCGACGATAGTCGATAACGTTCATACTTATTATTTAAAATATATGTTTATATTTAATTTTTATTATTTGTCTGTCTTTATATGTAATATGTGCCGTCGACGTACGCCGATTGCGCAGCTATACGTGCTTTAATAAATAATAATTAATAATAGAATGATGATTATTTTACGCTGTGTATGATTTTATTTAATGTTTTTCATTCTTTTAAATGTAGCTATTATTATATAATAAACAAATTATGAGAAATAAAAATAGTTTTATAACTTCTAACAATAAACATTAAATAAAGGCCCACAAAAAATTACGCCCACCAAAATTTTACGCCCGGGGATCAATCCCCGGATCCCCCCCCTTAGTTCCGCCACTGAATACAAGCTGCAAAGCATTGTACATGAGTACATGACTAACTAAACTAATTTTAAGAGTGAAGACATAATATACATCACATTTTTTGAGTTTTCTTAAAGTCTTCATATTGCTCTGCTTATATAACCTTAATCTTAAATTTTTATAAATTAATGACAATCGACATCAATTTTTAAACTAAAATTTTTATAAAATATTCTGATAAATTAAATTTAAAAAATTAGAAATCTTTAAAATGTCAACATAAAAAATACTATAAAATTAAACATTTTTAAATATTTATATTATACTACAATTAATAATATAAAAATAAATTTTTATAATATTGCAGTGCTAACCATATTCAAAACAACATAGTATTTTTAATTTAATCACAGAAAAGAATTGAAAGTGAAAAATTATACTGAATGTAACTAGTTAAATGAATTGAATAAATTAAAACTTAAAAAAATTGTCAATACTTTGAATAACAAAAAATATAGTTATTTATTTTTGGAAAAATATAAATACACAACATAATCAATTTTCATTTATTGATTCATGATTGTATTATTTTTTACAATTATGATAAAAATGCTTACATATTATTATGTAAGTAATGCATTACCATTATCATAATTTAATTGTTCATTAGATCGTGAAATTTCAGGGTCTTGTTTAGCAGGTGATTGTTCTTCTATTATTTTAGTTTTTGTACCTAAACAAATTGATAAAATATCAAGCATATTGTATAATACATGTTTACATTAAACTATTACACAAATTTATTTACAGAAACAGTAAATGTAAATACATTACTTGGAGAAAATATATTGCTTAGGCGCAATGCTTTCTTTTTTAACTTTGACATAACTGTTTTATTTTTTTTAACTGAAGTCTTATTATAATCAACTTCAAGAGAACTATCATGTTCTTTTTTATTATCTTCACGAATAGAAATTTCAGAAGACTTTTGATTATCAAACTTCAAATAAAAACAAAAATTATTAATTACATAAACATTTTATTATGTAATAATAGTAATCAATACCATTTCATGTGAACAATTATTCTGTTCTACACTCTCGTCCATCCCATCCGTAAACCTATAATAATCTTCCAATCTTCTGTTAACTAAATCTTTGATTTCAAATTTTATTAAATCCATTAAAGAGGTATTTTTAAATAATTCATTTACTCGTGTCTGACCAAGTATCAATACAATTTTTATACTGTCTGCAAAGTCAGGAGACAATAAAGGTTCTGACAAATTTTCACAAACATTGTTATCATCAATATTTAAACGCGCTTCCAGTCTTAGTTTCTTTAGTTCATAAAAGTCTTTATCCGAACTTAAATCACCATTACATTGATAACAATCTGAATTTGTTTGATCTATATCTGAAATATCAATACTACAGATTCCTTTATATTTATTCATAGATATTGCATCAACTTTCCGTGGTGGTCGTTTTGGAGAACACACAGGTGTTGAATTTTCAATTAAAATATTTGTTTGTATACATTTTGAGGATTTTTCAGATTTATAAGAATCACACTGTTGATATTTATGATTTAAAACTGAAACATAATTTTAGATATTGGTTGTAATAATTAGATAATATCATACATATTAATATCATTATAATTCATAAGCGCGTCAGGTCTTCTTGACAACAGTAGTAAGGCCATTGTGAAGAGAATCCAAAAATCCAAACTCTCCCCCCACTATCACCAAAATATTTAAAATTGATTAGTATTAAATTAATTATGCTTAAAATAATAAAATACATTAAAATTATAAAATTAATATATACATACTAAAAAATTAAAATATGAATTATTTGAAATTTAGACTTAATTGTTACTAGTTAGTTTAACTTTTTGAAATACAATTCATGTATAAAACGATCAGTTTTATGAAATAAATAATAGTTATATTTTTTTTTTTAATTACAATCAATACCATATATAACGACAGCTAAAATACTGTTAAAAATATTCTATTATAACCAGCATTAATTAAACCATTTTTTTTTTTTTATGTATTATTGATTAATTAATTTAAAAATAAATATTATGTTTATAATTAAAATTATTAATAACTAAGCATTAACCAAAACTACTTATTATTTTAATTAAAATTTGTTAACAATTTATATACATTTGCAATTTACAAAAAGTGAAAAAAATTAGAAATGAATAAATTAAAAAATCAGAGATTTTTAACTGTTTGAAGTTATAATTTAATGACATATTTTATATGGTTAATTTAAGCATGCAAGTAGGTATGTAAATTTGCCAATAAGAGATTTGATGAAAATATGTAATCACCAATTATACGGTCATTATACACAGTTCTTATACAAAATATAAGGTACTGATTTTTAAGTTAAAATTACTATTATTGTCATTATGTCTGATGCCATTATACTCATTATAGATATTACAAACTAGTAGTTAACTGTTTTTTAATATTATTTGTTCTAATAACACACAAATAATATTTTAAATAAAATCTATCATAACACATAATCTATCATTTTTTAAGCAATTCCAGCAACACTATTTATAGAATACAAGGATCACTTATAAAGTTATAACCCTATGGTTGAATTTTACACTCATTATCTATATACAAAAATATGTATCAATATATACAAGTAAAACAATTAACCTGTTTAGGTTAATTTTCATACAACAGAATAATGTAAAATTATGCTACAGTATCTCAATGTATCCTATACTAAGATAAAGTTTTAATTGAAAAAAACAAAACCTTAATGACAAACCTGATTTAATAAGTATTCATAAGCCTTAATGAAATCAAATAAGATTTAAAAAAATTTTATAATTACTAGTTTTAGATTTAATACAATTTTGACTTTTTTCATATTCATTTTTAAGAGTGTTATAATTTTTCTCCAAGCTTTCATATTTTTGTTTCCAATACATTTCTTGTATCTGCATAGGGTTATCGCCTGGTTGAGGTATTAACTAAAAATTAAATTCAAATTTTTTTATTTTGACTCAAATACTCTATTTTATAAATATTATAATTAACTTACATGGTATAATAATTTATTTTTATGAACAGAATTACAGTTATTGAGGTCACGTTCATCAATGTGTATTTTAGAATTCTAAATTCATAAAACGTATTACTTTAATTTTAAATAAACATTTAAAATGAATAGGTATAATTTTAAAATATATTTTACTTTAAATTTATTCTCAAAAGTTGAAGTAATTTCATTCAATTGAGTTTGAAGTTGAAGAATTTCCGATTTTAAGCTATCAACACACTCATTTTCAGGTGAATTTGTAAAAGTGCATGAGTCAAGTTTATGTCGTCGGAAACAATGATATTTCAAATAAGAAACATCCATGAACATCTTTCCACACAATTCACAAAGTGCCATCGAATCTACCTAAATTTATAATGTTTATTTAGTATTTAATAGTATTAAGAGTTATTATTTAATAATTGGATTAATAGTTATTAATACGCATCTTCTGAAAACTAAGAATGTATTATACATACTTTGTCATTGAACTTAAAAGTTGAATGTTTTTTGTAATGTAACAAAAAGTCTATTATCAATTGTGAAAGACGAAATATTTTTTTAGACACACTCATTTTCTCAATATTGTAACTAAGAACACTGGCTACAAGCATTGACAGACTTTTTACATCAGCTTTATCAATTATATCATTAATGACAAATCCTTCTATGCGGGGTCAATTCACAAAAAAACAATTTAAAACAATGTTATGATATTATATATACCATATGAAAATTACCCAAATATTCCCAATCCACCAATCCACTATATTGATTGAATCGAAACCCAGTGGAAGACGCTATACATTCAAAGTCTGAAGTCACCAGTTGCAAGAAATCATCCATAGTTAAGTTATTGAAATAACGTTGTACCCAGTAACTTATTAAGTGAAATCTTTTACCTATTAAAAAAAAATAAAGATATTATGATTGGTTTGATGGATATGATAACACATAAAACAAACAATCGTAAAATGTAAATACACCATTGCAGATTTAAACTAACGACGGTCCATATAGCTGTGTAATTAAATGATTAACTGACAAATTGAAATCTGTAAAATAATCCTACAATTCGGATTTGTGATCTCAGCTAGCAGCTTATAAAAAAAACCATTTATAAAAAGTAATATTGTGAGTTCTTCAGTACAATGAATCAATAATTATGAAATATACAATAAATTTTAAATATTATACAACAAATAAAATTAATAACGACATTGTACAATGCACAGATTATACAGTAAATAGTAATACACTAATACAGTATAAAAATTTTAAATCATCGTTATCATTTAATCATTTTCATTAACGAGTTAAGTATTAACCACAGAACAGAAATTTCTCTTTTTCTAAGTTTTCAGTAGTTTGTGGGTACACTGTTAATCTGTAAGTTATGAGTTATGACCCTTCGACCATATAAGCTAATAGACGCGCCTTATTATATGCTTGTATAGGCACAATTATGTAGCCATCATATTTAATGATATGACGTCACGTTTGGGCAAAACAATTTCGTGTTATTATTAGTTCGTTTATTTGGCGTTCACTCGTTCACAGCGTTTGCCCTTTGCCATTTGGAAGTTTGGAACACATTTTTATTATCTTATTGGCTAATTAATTATTAATATAATTATTATAATTAAGCATATTATTATTTAATATTTATTATTCATATTTTCTATATAATATTATATTATATAAAAAAAATGGTAATTTCATGTTCAGCATATAATTGTACTTAAAGATATACTAAAGGAATTTCATTTCATGGGTAAGCATATTTAAAAAATATATTTATTTATAATAACATTTTTTATAATTTAAATAATACCATCAGGTATTCAATCTTTAGATGTCAATTTCAATGACGAAAACGATATTTTTGAAAATCAGATTTACTTAAACGAACATGATTATTATAAGCTTCCAGAATTTGAAACACTTTCACATTACGTTGTAGATGTTGTAAGCTATAAATCTGGATTTGTAGTAAAGAAAGTTAAAAAAATTGTTAAATGTAATGTTTGTATTAGCGCTTTAACTTCAACTGAACATACATCTCGACTTGTAAATCTAAAACAATATTCTTCAAACACAAAGGGTGGACTCATAAATGCATCACCTGATGTTATTTATTTGTGTAAACTAGCTGAATCAGAATTTAGAATAATTGAACAAACTAACAATTTGAATAAAAAAAACATTATGGAGGTATTAGTCATTAAATGTTTACGAAATATGAACAAATCAGTTTTTAAAAGTTTACATGATCATATGTTTGATGAAGATGCTCAAGGAAATCATATAATATCATTAGTCAAAATTATTATTGCCAATTATTTAAAATTAAGACTTCATCATAAAGCAGATTCGATTAATGACGTACGAAATAATAAACGTGTTCGTAGTGTATTAACTAAACAGATTTTATTTTCAAATCAATAAGATTCAAAATCACAGAATAATAAAATTGTACTATTTTATGATTTTAAGCGTATATAAATCTGAGAGTCTACAATGAGGTAACAATATACTAGTTCTAAATATATCATTTTGGTAAATTAAATTTAATAATAATTATGTTTTAATTAATAAATAACTCGTTAACTAGGAGAAAAACCGAGATAGACAAATAGATAGATAAATGATAGTATAATACTAAGGAAATAAGAAATTAAGAATTAAAAATTTGTAAGTAAGCTATTAATCAAAAATATTCTATTGGGATAGCTGGAATACTATCTATAGTCCGGCCGCCGGCCGGCGTTATTGCCCAAACGTGACGTCACACGCTACATGATGTTGGCGTCAAGATATTTACCGTATGCCGCGTCTATTAGCTTATATGGTCGAAGTTATGACCGATAATCAAGACGCATGATTTCTAAACTTATAATAGAGTTTTGAGTAGAGTGGTTCTAATTGGCCCCATATTTTTATGGCGGTAAATTCAAAACTATAAAATCAAATAAAGGTAGGTAATTTAAATTAATTTATTATTATTATACAAAGATTATATTCTGATAAAACAAATTGATTATTATTTTAAATTTATTTATAAAATTGTTTTTTTATGAAACTTATACCAAAAACCAATTGCTAAAGAGGTGTTCATTATAAAAATAATGTAGTACTCATTTTTCCCTAGTACTCTTCTATTCACCTAATTAAATCCCTTTGACTAATTGTGAATGTTTAGTTTTATAACACATTATTCACTATTCAGTAATCTTGTATCTTAAAATTTAAGCATTTAATTTTTTTTTTTTTTATATATTGGTAGACAAGTGTATTTATTGCAAGTTTTTACCATGTTTAATTGTATATTATATTATTAAGAAGAAAAATGTTAACACATAATATTTATTGTATAATATATGATAATATATATAATATTACTTAGTAGTAATTTTAATTATTAAAAATATATCAAATAATAATTGTGTGTATTATTGTGTTATATGTGCAGTGTGCACAGTTAATTGTATTTTGTGATAGGTAGTATTTATGTACCTAGTTTAAAAAATCGAAAAATAATAAATAAATTAAAATGATAAACTAGTTTGTATATGTTAAATAATATTATATTTTAAAAATTGCTAATTTACACAAAAAAGTTCCTTGGGTATATTAAGTAACCTAACCTGTTGTGTACAAAAATATATTAAGAAAAATCAAAAAATCTATTATTAATTAATCAGAATTCAGAACTATGGTTTTAAATATTTTTTGTAATAACATTTAAAACTCTGCAAAGCTTTTATTAACAATCTAAAAATACACATTGTTTGATATTGATGTGAAATTTAGATCTTACGATTGAATTCACTATTATTCCAGATTTCTATATTATGTTTGCTTAAGATTTCTTTATTATATATCTGTTCTTATTTTATAAATAAATTATGCATACATTTCGTGAAAACTGTTCTTTGGTGTCAAGAGGGCTGAAATGTAAAGTGCACACATTTACTGACTTTGAGATATATTTATATTCGTTTTATGGAGATAATTAAAATAATTGTATACCTAGATATTACAGATACTATCACCACAATATCCCTCGTTAATATTACAAATAGTGTGGATAAAGGTTTTAATTGTTTATTAAGTACATCAATAAACCATAAAAATAATGCTATGGAATGGAAAAAAGAGTTTGAACTACTAAGTACAACAAATTATAATGTGAGTGGGTCTTTTCCTGAAAATACACAAAAATTAATGTTTAAAGTAAATATTTACAGATGAAATTTGTTTTGATAATTATTCTATATTTACCTACATATTATTATCTACCTATACAAAATATACTATAAATATATAGGTACATTTTGACCAATTTTAGAAGAGATATCATTGCCATCACAACACTCGTCCATGTTCGAAAACAATTAAGCCTCATGCAAATAGCAAAACATACATCAAATACAGCAAGACTCACCATTTCTGTAAAGCAGAAAAACATGAAAAAGCAATATTATATTCACTTATTTGTTGGTATATAAAATGCGCATTTAAATGTTAACCTATTAAACTAGGACTAATATGAAAATATTATTTTACACAATATATGCAAATAGATGAATTGAAATTTTATACTTTATTCCTAATTTAATTGTTTTTAAGTAACAATTAATATGGTTGCTAAAAATGTATTTCGTTAAAAGTTGTTAGTTACTAGTAATTTTTAATTGAATAACTTATCATTAAAATTTAAATGTGTATACAAATGTAATGCTAATGGCTACTAGCCTTAGTTGTCGAAGTAAATATTTTTCATTTCAAGAGTTCAAGACCAATAAAAAAAAAATTAGTTATAACTTATAACTTATAACATTATGTAATATGTATTTAGCATTTTACAGCTGATCATCTTTTTTTTGTCATATAGCTAAATATTACAAATTACAATCCTAGAGCGCGTTAGCTATCTTCTCAGAGGGCATGCAGGAGTTAAGATTTTTGACACTGGTTGTTCCCTATTGTAATTGTTATTCATCATTCATGGTAATGGTATTTGATGATTTGGAATATTTGGATCTCAGTCGATGAATGACTATTGAGGTACTGTACTTCCGTCTATCCTATCGTATACAACGTAGGATTTCTAGTGTGTTCATCATCTGTGAAGAGAATTTCAATTCGATTTCATACCAAACTTATTGGAAAAAGTAAGTGAATTTTATGATGTAATGTTTATATTTACCCAACATGAAATTTTTCGTTTTATTTATATATATTAATGTGGTCCGGTCAACGTTCCGCGATCACTATGGCATGACGCTGTTTTTTTATTAATAACCAAGAACCGGCTTAATATTATATTATTATGTAATACCTATATAGGCAAAATTATTAATACGATGTTCAAACGTTTTTAAATTTCGAATACTCAATTTTACATGGTTTTAAAACACTGCATTTAAATATTTTCTGGAAGCATCTTAAAAAATTTGTGTAACTAAACTAAATTATAATATATCATACTCGCCACGGAATAAGAACGTACCTGGGCGGCGGACCAAAACAGGTCTGCCGTCTGCGCAACGAGGTACGTTCTTATTCCGCGGCGTGTTTAGTGGAAAATCGTGTATATTATTAGTAGTGTTTGACAACGTTATCGATAACATATTTTCTTAATAATTTCGATATCGATATCTAAAAATATCGCACTATTAAAATACGAAAAAGTTGACGAATTTATATTACTTCTACCAAGTAGATAATAAATTACGGACTATAGTGATATATTTCAAACAAACATTGATGGAAAAACTTTTTGAAGAAGAAAATTCGTTAACTGAAAATTACGTATTTCTATTATTTCTAAATCTTATTTTCTACTTTTAGATTTTAATTTTTAATTTTACATACTTATAAATTAATATATTATAATAATTAGTAATTAATATACATACAATTATTAATATATACAAATCGATATCGATAATTTAAACTTTATCGTTGACGAACACTAATTATTAGGGTTAGAAGTGTTGGGAATTTAATATGATTATATCATTTTAATATTATTTGTTTCACCTATACACATTGCAGACCAAATTAAAAATCCCTTTAATAAAACATAATAGTTGAGAAGTTGTTGTTATAACTTACATTATATTTAATTTCGAATTTCTAGCCATAAATATATTTTTCTTTAATACAATATTTTATTGTATATTATTGTTTGTTCATATTGTAACTTCCCAGTTATTTTTCTTAAATTTTAGATTTCTGAGAAAATTTTTAATAATTTTAAATAAAATAAATTATATCAAATTATTGAATATTATTATAATTATGTATGTAATGTATAATAAGCCCTACTAAGCTAGTGCATGAGTTCTGCTTTCTATTTTTCATTAGAATTTAATTTGACAAAATAACTCCCTGTATAAAATTTTACTGTGTCAACAATTTCAATTATGCACCTCAACAAATTTAATTTAAGTACTTCTTAACAATATTTTTTTAAACTTTTTTGGAGAATTTTTGAGAAAAGTAAATGATAAAACATAAAAATTAAGAATATTTTGTATGCTAATCATAGGCCCAAATAGTGTTTGAAGTTTAGGGGGGGCTAAAGTCAAAATCCATCCCAAATTCCCAAACATCTTAAAATATTTTTCCTCACTACGCTCAGTTAACAGAAGAGGCTATACAGAACTTAAGAAGGCTTAGCCCCCCTCGCTATTTGCACCTATGATGCTAATATTAAATAAAAATTAAATTAAGCTTATTTTGAATTACAGGTGAATATTAATTTAAAAGTATGTTCACAACATTTGAAGCAAAACTAGCTTGTAAAGCTGTTTCAAAACATAAAAAGGTATTAAAAACTATGAAGAAAGGTGCAATCGAAGTATTGAAATATTGCAAGTCTTCTGTAGTGAAATATTTTGATGATTTGATGAATCCAAAATATATCATCCTTAAAAACTGTATTGTATACCAAGTGGGTAGTAATCCCAACAATACTAAACTTTTTTATTGAAAATTAATTGTTTATTATTTTTATAAAAAACAACATAGTTCATTAATCCAACTAACATTATTAAAGAAAATGTCTAAATTTAAAGATATTTTTGATTTTTACTCCCAATAATTTTACTACATATATAATATTATATTCTTTAATGTGTAATAGTATAAAATAATAACACTAAATAGATTTTATTTTTATAGAACAAATAGTATCAAAACAAATTATTTTATTTTAGTTTTTTAAATTTTATTTCAAAATATTAATTATGATTTATAAACATAATATTATAATATTAAAAGTTAAAAAAATTTTTTGGAAATGTATAAATAGTATTCTTTTAAAACGTATGTATACATAATATGTTCCTGATAAATAATTGTATGAAGGATAGTTTAACTAAAAGTTGAATGTGTTTTTTTTTATAATGTAATAAAAATTCAATACTAAAAATTTGATATGTATTATTTAATTTTAAATAAATAATTAATAATTACCTACTTGTACTACCTAGATCTTAAGTTATAACTCTGTGCTCTAACCATAAAATTATTTGGACTGTAGCAAATTTTGTACTGCTTGGTCATTTTTTGATGTTTTTAATGCATTTTTTAGCACATTTTTGAACTATTTCTCGTATTGAAAAGTAGTTGAAACTCGTATTGACTTTATTGAAACATAAGTACTTGACATAGTACTATATAATATAAATTATTTTCGTATTGAGCTTAATTTTTTTATATTATACTTTCTTTGTATAGGTAATAATTTGAATTTATGTAATAAATAATGTATTTTTAGAAAATTTAGGTTATAAATGCATTTTTCGGTATTTTTAAGGGCATTTATATCCAAGCCTTAGTAATAACATAAGATTTTCACCTTAAAGAAAATTATGTATACGTATGCCAAATGAGTGATTATTATTGCTTATATATAATTGATATTTTTTAATAATCAGCATAAAAATTTTCAAGATATTTTGTTAATAATATTATGTCAAGCTTAAAGACATATTATCTTTAAATACTAAAAGTATTTAGTTATTAGTTATTAATTTAATTTAAAATTTACTGTTTAATACAATACATTTGGTTGAAATTTTTTGACCGCTTTATTGATGCCATACAATTATTATTTTTTTTTTAATTTAAAGTACATTTATATAATTGTACTTAAGGTAGGTTAGGTAAATAATGTTCCAAGAACATTTTTAAAACAATCTTATAATCTTATTGTGAAATATTTAAAAACTAAAACATTTTCAAAATAATTTTTAATTATAATTTTTTCCCTAAATTCTGTTTGCCGTTTATGATAAATATAGGCATAATTAAGGATAGGTATAACTTACTATACAGGATGGCGTTATTTGAAATTGTTTAGGTCATACATTAATATTATTTTGCAGCACCATCAAGCCCAATATTTTTTTTAATTTGGGTTTTGGACTACATCATATTCAAAAATCTAAACAATCTAAATGTTTAGTGGTATATTTTTCCTGTACATTCCTGATTCTCAACAAATTCCTAAGTGGCAACAATAGAACAAATGGCTCCAAGATTGCATGTTTTAGTTTGTTGAAAATTTGTTTTTTTAAACATTGTTTTTAATACTCTTAGTTATTTAAATGTATAACGATTTATTTGGATTAAAGTTAGAGTTTTGTCATAAAAAATAAGATCAAAAATAACTGCAGTACACATGTATTAACATACAATATGCATGGCTTCCGTCTATTGGTTAATTAAATCTAATTACCAGGTTTTACTCTTGATTTTAAATGAATTTAAGTAGGTTTATTTATATATATCAAACAATTATAGAAAATATAACATAATATATTATTGAGTACATTATTGAAGAGTTTACTAGTTTAAAACCATGAAGATTAGAACTAATAGAAAAAAATTATTTTAATCTTCATAGCACAACTTTTACTTGAGTGACAAATAATAATCATTAATGGAAAATTATTTCTGACGAATCTTCACCCTCTATTAAGCCAATCTCTGTACACACAAATTTGAATTAAAACAGCTTTCTTGAGTTGATGTATCTATTCAAAAAAATTCATAATTATAATAATAAAAATAATTACTCAGGTTGTAACTATAATAACAGTATTTATTAAGCAATTCAGTATAATAAATATTAAACAACAAAAAACATAAATTAAATTAGGTAAATCAAATATTTTTAAGAAGCAAAAATAATGATCTAATATTACATGTCATTTAGTTATTTTTTAAAAAATGCTTTAAATTTTCATAAGCGACATTAACCACGCCCCAACTTATAAATGACCTTGTATAATTCATATGCACTCCTCGATAAAAATATGATATTCTATTTCCACGTTCTTGATAAATTTCAATTGCTGCTTCTTTAATACTTTTAAATGGACCACCCAAGTTGCTTTGCATGTGTACTTTAAGTACATTACATGGATAAAATAGAGCACTGTTTAAAGCACCAATAAATGCCCCGGTCAGAAACTCTTTAAACAACTTATAGCCTGTCCATGCAGTAGAGGGTATTACAATATATGAATTGGCAGCTTCGCGTAATAAGAAAAAGGAAATATTAGAAGGCCCGTTACGCAACAAAATTGGTGTAAGACCACGGTAAAATTCAGACACTGAATAATCAGTAGCAATAACTTTAATTGCATGTCGCATATTTATAAAATTTTTATTATAATGGTTATTCTGAAGTAACGTTTGTACACGTTCAAATGGTGTTAATGTAGCTTCCGCTGTACCAGCTACCAATGCTGCAATGATTTTTGCTAATCTGGTGTTTAAATTACATTCCAAAAGTGGTTTTTGGATTGCATCATAAGTACCAAACATTAATGATGTAGAAATTGTCTTCTGAAATAATGGTGGATAAATCCCTCGATAAAGAGTAGAAAACCCCTCATTCATAAGTTGAGAAGCTGCATTCCTTAGGCCTACTCCATGTAGCATCTAAAATAAATTTAATTCAAATATATAAGTGTAAATAATTTACATGCAGGTAAATATATACAATCTGATTAAGAATTGTATTTTAAAAAAAAAAACAATAAAAACTGGTCAACAAGGAAACAAAACACAATATTGACACGTTAAAATTAAACATTAAAGAAATATATCTATCTAAAAATACAATTAGTTACTAGTCTAAAATAGTACGAGTTTAGATTTTGTATAGTTTCTTCTTCATCCGCTTTTACAGAATAAACATAATTTATTAGTATATTAACTTTACATGGAATGATCCATTATGAAATTGTCTAAAATTCATTGATTATTTGAGAATAAAAATAAAAATAAATAGTATGCACAAACAATATTTAACTAATCAATCAGAAAAAATAATTTTACAGATTTTTAAATTTTCAGTATCTGGTGTTTTATCTAAATTTTATTTATCTGAATAATAAAATCTTTAATTTCTTAAAATAATTTAAGAATTTTTTATTTTAAAGGCCCAGATAAATGTCAATAGCAAAATAATTGGTCAGTTTTAGAAATGCTTTAAAAAAAAATTTTAATCTTATACTAAAGAGTATTATAAATCACACGATGGCACAAAATTTAATATTTTTAAGTGCAAACAAAAGTAAATACAAAATAAAACTCTTGATACATGCCTTCTACCTCACACATTATACGTTATAAAAAATCTACCATATATTTTTAAATTTAACTGAAATATGAATAAATACATAAATGTAAAAATATTATCTATTCCATAGTGATAATATTTATACACAAAATAATTTAAAATATAATATTACGTAACAGCTATTTTATCATATAAACTCATAATAGAGATAGAAAAATATTCAATACAAAGTTTTTTTTATTAAAAATATGTAAAATAATTAATAATTTTTATATTTTTTTACAATATTTTAATGAAGGTTTTGAGGGTTAACTTAATAAATATAAATGTGAACACTTATACTTTTTCACAATAATGTGAAGAACTTTTATCAGTGTATTACCTAACCATGGTAAGTAAAGAAGTAGACAAACATTTTACACTGATCACCCTACCATTACACTCCATTTATCTAAAATTTAAATACTTATAACTCATAAATTATTCATCCAAATTTCAATTTTGTATTAAAGTACTCCAAAAAAATTATTCAATTTAGATTGTAAAAGAAAATATAGGTTACCATTTAAATTTTTAAAGTTGAGCCCAACAAAATACTGTAAGAAAACAAAAATATAAAAATTACTAATTACTAATTATTTTAAATATTTCTAAATAAAATAAACTTTCATTTTAAACATTTTTCTCAGCTATTATGAATGCTTTTAAGATGAAATAGCTATAGCCTATAACATAAATGTAGAATCACACTGTATATATAAATATATAAATTTTATCTAGTAAAACATAATTCAATAGTTTATAATTTATAGACATCCAATCACGTCACAATCTAATTACAAATTCAAACAAATTTATTAAAAATTAAAATATGTATAACAATTAAAAATAACTATTATTTTATTATACCTAAATAATTCATAAAAATATTTATTCTATATTACAATATATTTTGACGTCATTTAGATAACAATCAAATGGATTACCATTATTCAGCTAAGTATTAAAGTAAAGATAGTGATGTACCATCCATTTTTAGTTATTAAAATTTCAAAACTCTCTATAAATTTTTTATGTGTTATGTGTGCACCACTTATGGGATTGATAAAAAACTGGGTCTTTTAGTTTCCCTATGAAATCAACCCTTAATCTCTAACACCTTATATATAAGCCATTCATTAAAATGTACTTCAATTTAATTTTAAATTATTTTATGTAAAGTCTGTGTTTTTATTCTACTATAAAGTATCTTGCTTTGATAACATCAAATTTTTCATTTTTACACATACCGAACACCAATGGGTCCATATTTTCATAAATAAAATCAGGTTCCTCTTCATTGCTCAACTTGTCTACATCCAAATTTTCAGTAGCAATATCAGTCCCTAATATTATATTTATATATTTTTATTATTTTGAAATATATTATAATTTTTTATTTATGTATTTATTAATATTTTAATTAAATATAAAAATATATGATAGACCACATATAACATATAGTAATGGGTGTAGTAAACTGCACATAACTAGAATACTAAATCTAGTTTATAAATTAAAATTAAAATAATATTTATACATGTGGATTTTTTTTTTTTTTTTAATTTTACATATCATGTAAGTTGCACATTAATGTATACCTAATAAAATAAAATAAAATATACTAGATCATAGAAAATATTTAATTTAGTTTATTAAACTGTATACTATAATAACAAATTAACTGCACAAAAAATGGGTTTTTATTCCAACAATTAGTGCAAATTAAGTAAGCAAAATAAAATATTAATAACATTAAAATTAAAAATAATAATTAAACAACATGCTCTTTTGGACATAAACATTGAATGGGATAAAACAAACACATTAAATATAACATAACAATTATAGTAAATTTAAGTATGTATTAGTTTGTCTTTTATGCTTTCTGCAGATGAATGTGCTGATGATCATTGCCACAGTGCAATTCTAAAAATAATCATTTTATATAACATGAATAAAATATGAAAATGTGGAGGAAAAACTAAAAATGTATTAGTATAAAATGAAGACACTACAAAATATTGATACACACTACAAAAATAGAATATTCTACCAATGATATGTATTTAATAATTTTGTACTATCTTTAAATTAATATAATTTCAAATTTAAATAGTTTAATTTCATAAAAAATATATAGTAATAACAAAGGGTAAATAAACTATATTATTAATTACTGAATTTTCATACTTATAAAATTGAAGGAGAGAAGGGGATGGTCTCAATGCATTCATTCAATCAATTTTGAGTTTAGAATACAGTTGAAGCAACAAAATTACATTCAAAAACATTAGACCAATCCGAATATGATATTAAAAAGGATGCTACACACGCATTTGATATCTTCATCTTAAAAGTATGTAATATAAAAATCTATATCAAGCAATTCATATTTTGGTTGATTTGTTTGCTTTAATATTACAATGAATTTTAATTATTAACTATCTATGTTCATATGTAGGTATTTTCAAAATTCAAACTGCTGAGTATTAATTTTCTATGTTGCACACTTGTAAGATAGAGATTAAAAATCTGGTGTAGCATACTCTAAACAAAAAGTGTTCTCATTTTAAAAAAAATGCATAAGTTGAAAAATTGTAAGTCAAAGAAATAGATGTCTTATTAGTTTAGCTCATGTTCTGCAATCCAAATTTAATAATATACCAAAAGTACTGAGTTATAGTGCTTCTTATTTTTATTCATAAGCAGTATAATATCTATATTAAACATATTAACAATTATCATAATATCTATTTAATTTTATAAATTAATAATTACGACTAACAAAATAAATTTACCATAAACAAACAAAATATAAAAATCTGGTTCATAATTTTATTCTATACTTTATAATTATTACCTATACTTAAATATCTATTGTAAATATTATATATTTCAATTACTATAATAATGTACATTTTAATATTAACACTAATTGAGATCTAACATTGGTAAAATATTCAAAACTATACTATAATAAAATAATTCTTTAAATAAAATGAAACTTGTCGAGTTAAATAGCTTGCTTTAAAATATGTAGCATTTTTTCAGAGATATCAAATAAGGTGCAGTATGTCTTTCACTTATAGTTTCTATTGTGGCAGTGTATAAAGCTTTTAGAAAAATTTGGTAATAGACAAGTTTCACTGTTCATACTTTATTGAATAATCAACAATAACATGCATGATAAATAATAACTTTAATAATAATGTAAAGAATTAAATTAAAACTAATAATATAAAACAATATACAAGAAATCCCCATTGTTGAGTAACTAAAAATACCATGCATACAATTTGTTAAAAATTAGACAAAAAAATTTGAACATTAATTTCTGCCTAGAAAACATTACACAAGTGAATCAAACTATATCATTGGCACTACAGCAGACAAGTAATTATAAATAATTGTAAGATCTATTAAATTAAATATTTTTTTACATTCTATTAAATATAGGTTGAAATCTATCATGGTTAAGAGGGACTTAAAGCATACATTTTTAATAAATATAATATAGTAAAATTATTTTTAAAGAAGAAAACTTTATACATTAGAACCTTGATCTTTAGATTTTATTCTTCAAAAATATCAAAAATATCCTTAACTACAATAATATAAAGTATATCTGCTTTTTAATAGCTATTTAAATGTAAATCATATTATATTTTTGTTATATCAAAGTCTCAAAAAAAGCAATTGTTATAAATATAATAATTAATAATATTTTATTATAGGTATATTTACGTTGTTTTTACATTATTAAATAAGTAAAATGAAAAAGTAATTAAGTTTAGAAAACATAATAGTATAGGTTAGTAAAACGTTGTTATTAATCTACATAACCATCTACTTGACAGTTTTAAATTCACTACTTAGATTTATTTCAAATTATATTTAAAAAGCTGAAAAAATTAGTTTTTTTTAAAAATGAATACCTGTCTGAATATGATTTTATTAATTGGGAAGGTAATGCCAATATTGATAATAGCAGCTCCACAACCGCAAACAAATTCTGAGTATTCTTCTCGACTCAAATGCATAAAAAAGGCCATATTATTGTGTTCCTATTAATGTCAGCTTATTTTTAGCTCATATATCATCCTGGAACCATACATAATGTATTATTATAACTGGTAATTAATCTACAAGGTTATGTATGAATTATATAAATAAAGGCAATGTAAATTTAAGAAACTAATGAACTAGTATCGTATTTACCTATTTTTTGGTATATTCAGAAAAACAATAAACTCGTCAAAAGTCAAAATCCCAATTCAACGTCTTCGAAAAACAGAATATTAAAATTGTTTGCAACCAATAAATAAATTAATATAGTAAATTTATCAAAAACTTGTCCGTGACTGCACCCAACTCAAACAATTCATGATAATATTTTGTTACATTGTGATAATGGTATCAATAAAAAAATATTTTATAGACCATTATTATACTCAGGGTATAAGGTCTATGTTAAGGTTACAAAATTCAGTTATTAACTTTACACATATATATACCATATAACCATATACCATTAAATATATGTATATAAACCATATTATAGACAGTGATGTTAGTGATGTCATTCATTGTGACGAAAGTTAGACACGAGATGAAGTTAATTAAGATCCTCGAGACAGTACTATCATTGATTATAAAATACTAAATAGTCTATTCCATAATCAATGGTAATATCTAATTACAAGTATAATATTTAAATTTTAAAATACATTAGGAAAAAAATTAAAATGGCATTTTTTATATTTGGAATTTGGTAGAATTACAATATTGCTCTGCTCCAATTTCATCGATTCTAGTAGTAAATAAAATCTGGCTGTTACGACGAAAGAACAACTACCCCCGACATGTACGTAAACCTCGCAATAGTTTAGTGTTAGCATCGCAGAACCTGGGCCTGTGACAAAAGAGAAAATTAATTGATACTACTGTTAAAAAAAATAAAGTAAAACTATTAGGTATTAGCTTAAAAACGATTTTGTATTCGGTAGTTAATCATGACACAATTTAAATAAGTAAGAAAAGAATAATTAAGTACACCTGTGCGCGGGGTACACGAGACCAGTGGTCGGTTGGACCGTCCAACTTAGACGAGCGACGTAAGAGAGCTAGTCGACGAAAAAACACGTACGCCTATAGATATAATGTAGCGCTGGAGAGAAACGCGCCAAAACATAATTATAAATAATGAAAAATACATATAATTTACAAAATAATAATAATAATAATAAAAGTTAACTTGGTTGCCAACATCAACGGTTGATAAGGAATTATAGGTGGTACGAATCATAATCATAGATATATATAACAACCTCATAAATAATATTATCAAATTGTCAACAGTGAACAGTCACAAATCACATAAAAATGAGTAATGACTGGTTAAGAGATCGTCATTTTTCAGTCATCCAACTATCCAAGATTGAATATAGATAATAAAAATTATCTATTTCTAAGGTGCTCATAAGTCATAAAGTCTTGTAATCTCGTACACTTACCGTTTAAAATTCTAGATCAGTCATTATTATTAAATCAACACTCCACGGTATTGATTATTGGTCCATCAATAATAAGAATTTAAGGCGTTATTGGTGAGTCATTAATCAAATGTAATATTTAAGCTAAAAGTTTTACCTGAGAAATTTGATATATTATTTTTTCAGTCTAAAATGGCGAATTTCTCGTCACCAATGCCATCCAGAGAGTTCTTATGGGATGTGTTTCAAAGGTAAATAAAAATAATTAAATCAATAATATTTTAGTGTAACACAGTATTGTGTTTTAGGGTTGACAAAGATAGAAGTGGATTCATCTCTTCAGACGAACTGCAAATGGCACTCTCCAATGGAACATGGACTCCATTCAATCCAGAAACTGTACGTCTTATGATAGGAATGTTTGACAAGCACAGTCGAGGTACTGTATCTTTTGACGACTTTGGTGCCTTGTGGAAGTATGTGACTGATTGGCAATCATGTTTTCGATCATTTGACCGTGATGGTTCTGGCAATATAAATGTATCCGAACTTAAAGACGCCCTGTCGTCATTTGGTTATAGACTCAGTGAACAAATAGTTTCAGTTATGCTAAAGAGATTTGATCGCTTTGGTCGTGGCACTATACTTTTTGATGATTTCATTCAATGCTGCGTTGTATTACATGTATGTATTATTAGTTTTATAACAAACATTATCTATTATTCAATTAACTTTATTTTATTGTATTTTAATCATAATCATTAAATTAATTTTTATTTATTTACTTATATTTGTATTTATAGACACTAACTGCTGCATTCCGTCAATTTGATACTGATCAAGATGGATATATTACTATTCATTATGAACAATTTTTAAACATGGTATTTGGTTTAAAAATTTAAATGAGCTCTATTGTTTATTTATTTTTTTCATTTGTCTTGAGAGATGACCAGCATAAAGAATAATTTATAATGAAATATGATATACAATTTATTTCAGTTAGATAATTACTTTATCTGTTTCTTCTTATGACATAGTGGTTATTTTTAATACTGTCTTAATGTGATATTTTTAAGCTATCAATAATTTTATTATTGTTATATACATGAATTAATAATTTTCATAATATATATACTACCATTTTAATATTTTATACAGTTCCAATTTTATTGAAATAAACAAAAATAAATTTCAAACAGATTTTAATTTTTATTAAAAGAAAACATTTGTTAAAAATGTATGGCACGTATATAAAATACAGAGAAAGATGATAAAAATATCAATTTTTTAAGTTTGATTCACAAAAAATATTTAATTAAACATGAATTTTTTTGAAATAGACGTATGTAATGACTTAAGAATATTCAATGTATTTGGAAACATTTTGCAATAGAAGATCATTTGTATACTTAGCAAAAAGTGCAGTCAAAAGTGCTACTCCATAACCAGTAGCTCTTTCACCCTATAAAAAAAAAAAAAAAAATATTATACAAAAGACAATTAAAAAAATCAATTGGTTATCTACATATTTCAGACTTCCATAAATCTAACACGTTAAAATCAATTAATAGAAAATAGCAAATTTAATATTATTGAGTATTTACAATTCTGAAACATATTAAATTTGTCTATGATGTAAGGGAATAATCTATATACTTCAAAGAATTTATTATTTTACTAAGTTTAACGTCCAAGTAATAACAATACAATAACGTAATTTAATTTTTTGATTTTTAAATTATACAATTTCAAGGTAGAATACATAAATAATTTTGAAAGAAGAAAGCATTTTTAATTAGCATTAGACGAGCAAACAAATTTATATTTAGTATAAACCTTTACTATTAACTAAGATAGTTTTTTTAAAACTAAAACAAATTATGGATTTGACCTGAGAATAGGGTCATCAAACTGGGAAGGCAGGATATTGGGAGTTTTTGATGGGCTCCACTTGTTTAAATTGGGCAACTTGTAGGGACTTTCTTTTTTAGGTTTATTAGTTAAGGCTCATTCTGTTGATAAACATAGACACATTTTCTAATGTGATTGTATTCTTGTTGATTGGTTCGTGACTGTCAGATATGTGTTATGAAATATTTAAGGAATTCCTTAAAAATAAATATAGTACCTTCAGTATTCAGAATAATGTAGTATACTTTTGAAATGCGTAACAAATAAAAATTTAGTTTAAGATATTCTTAATAAATAGAATACTCATATAAATATGTTTTTTTTTAAGGTAGTTTTTATAGGTTTTCTTAAAAAAGCTAATTTTTTTTATTTTCCCGGTAGAAATTTTTAACCCAGTCCGGCCCTGCCTGAGAACAAGTTGAATTTAAATCATTATAAATGTATCAAAAACTTTAAAATGAGCATCTCTAAGAGAAAAAAATCAATGACAAACACTTAATTACTTAAATTTTATAGTATACTTATATGGTTAAATAAGTAATTTCTATTAAGTCCATCATTTAGAAAGAACATAACTTAAAAGGTAGCAAATAGGTTTATATTCTTCAGAAATAATACAATACAATATTTATAGAGGGTACTAATTGGACTCATTTTATAACCAAAGTATTTAATCCATTAACGGAATGAGTCAATAAGATGAAGAATTCAAGAATAAAAAGATATACATATACATTTTTATACAAAAAAAAATATGTAAACATGGCTAATCATATGTATGAATTATTTATAATTATAAAGGTAAAATAACAAAAAATATATTCAAAAACATGATACTTTTTGGTCTTATGAATTGAAAAAGTATATTAATTGTATAGAAAATCAAAAACTACATTAATTTTAAAATACAAAATGGACCCATTCAAACTTATGAAGTAAAACTGACCACATTTTTTGTTGTCTAATATATGTAAATCAAGATTAGCTGTTTGAATTCTATAGGCAAATTAGTTAATTAACCGTAATTTTAATAAAAAGCTTAAGCTATAATTATATTTACGTAATGAGAAGGCCCTGCAATGTCCACATGAATCCATTGATTAGCTGTATCAAAACCAAGATGAGCAGCTATAAACAGTCCAGCACATGATGAAGTAGCATTTGATCGATCCTAAATAAATAACAATTTAGTATTTAGTCATAAAAAATAAATGTTATCTTACAGCGACAGAGTTTTTCATATCAGCTACAGATGACGAAAATTCACAAAAATGAAGTTCTGGACAGTAGACAATTGGGAATGTTAAATCACCAGATATTAGACCAGCGGACACAACATTTTTTTCCCATTGTTCTGAATTGGACATTACTGCAGCATGATACTTTCCTGTGCTAATTGCCTAAAAAACAAATAATTTAATACTTCAATACTTAATTAAAAATTATGTTTAAACATACCTGTGCTCCAGTTAGTGTAGCCATGTCTAATATCACTTTAGCATTAAGATCTCGGGATGCATACACTACTCCATCTGATAAAACTAAACGTCCTTCAGCATCAGTATTATTGATTTCGACAGTTCTAAAATAAAATTTTTATTATTGAAAATAATTAATTTCTAGTATTGTTGGAAAATAGAGACACCAATACAAAGCTAACCTTCCCGAGTAAAGTGTATGTATATCATCAGGACGTGTTGAATCTGGTCCAACTGAATTTTCAGCTAAACAAAAAACAGCATGTAGATTTTGTTTAAAACTTGACTTTACTATAGCATGGAATGCTCCTAAAATAGCAGCTGCTCCAGCACAATCTCGTTTCATGCCTGGCATAGCAGACTAAAAATGTTAAATGAACAAATTACATTTTCTTTTTTTACACACATTAAAAATATATTTACTTTTCCTTTGATACTAAGACCACCAGTATCATAGACAATGCCTTTGCCAACCCAAGCAATCGTTTCTGTGGCTCCAGGTGGGGTGTAAGATAATACAGCTAGAGCTGGACCTATAGAAGATGCTTTACCCACACCATATATTCCTCCTAGACCTTTATTCTTCAACTCTTCACCGCTAATTATTGTAGGATTAATATTCAAGTCAGCTCCTACATGTTTTATCTCCTAAAAGTTGTATGCGAAATTAAAATTACCCAACGTATTCAGCCATTTTGTTTGACTTGCATCTAAAAAATGATTGACATTCATATCATTACACGGAGTATCAACAATTCGTGCAGTCATTTTAATAGCATTAGCTATTCTTTCCAAAGTTGCTATTTCTTCTTTTTCCACCTTGGTCTCACCATTGCTGTCAGGCAGTATTAAAAACTCTACTGTAACCGTTACAGTAGCTTTCTTTTGTTCTTTTAGTTTGCCAACATATATTTTAGTTTTACGGCAATAATCGTAAAATGCTCGAGCTGCAGCACAACCTGAGGCAAACATGTCTTTTCGTTCGCAAACAATCTTTAAAAATAGTATAACAATTTATTTTTAAATTACTTGAAAATAAATAAAATTTAATAAAACAAATAACTATTGCGGTATTGCTCACTAACCACAATGCATTCATTGTACCCAGCTGAATTCAAATTAATCAGTTTTGTAAGCATATGGGGTTGTGCTGATGAATTGTGACGACTATGACTGTTGGAAATTGCCGCTAAAGTGGCGGTGTTGAGAAAAAGTGGACAAGTGTCTGTTGGACAAGGATTTAATACAGACAAAGCAGATTTAAAAGTCTAAAAAATAGAAAATCTTACTGTAGTATGAAACATATTTTTAAATATTTATAAAACTTTATTCTTACCTGTTCATTAACTCGTGGTTCTAACTTACATTTGACTGCAGAATAAGATAAATTAGACAAATGTTTTTCTTGACCTACGATCAGTACTGGTACACTAATCGGATCGGTTTTACTCAAAGATGCTGAAAACTTTACAGTGGTGCTAGCCATTATGTTGACTTCCCACACACTAAAATGATGTAAACTAAACCAGCTTCACGTCTACAGCTAGTAGAATAGAAAATATCTAACACCGCTCTTCGCTTATAGCAGACAAAAACGATTTCTGGAAATTCTGCATTTGTTATCTCGATTACACTGTGATCATCTAATCAGTTATCGCTTTTCTATGATCTTGATTCTTATTTTAAGATTTAAAAAAGTGAAAGCTTAATGACAGAAAATAGATATGAAATTAAAGAACATCTAAACCAAAATCTTTAAAGAACAAAATAAATAAAAAGTAGAATCTATAAAGAATTTTTTGTAAATTTTAAGCCCGACATCAATGAAGTATTGATTATGGGTCAGATGTTAGAAACGAGAAATATCATTTACCGCTATCACAAATAAAAATAAATTTTACTGACCTGCTGGCTGCTGTAAATCACAAAGCTAAATAATAAAAATTAAAATGCAAATGGTCACTATTACTTTTGAGTATGTAACTATTTACCACAGAACTCATTAATAGTAAATACATTTGTACCAATTTAGATAATGAAAAACTATTAAAATACTAATAACTCTTATTTGAGTATAAGTAAAGAGGATTATGTATTATTATTTTTTTTTTTTACATTCTAATACTTGAAAATTTATTACTATCTAGAATCTATAATATTGACGTTGATTAATAATTACTGTCTTCTTAGTAAATGTACAACTATATCAAAATAAAAATATAATATCTTATATAGATTTATTATATATATTAAATTTAGTTCATACCCCATAATATTCTTAATTCATGTTCTTCGGTAACCAATAGTCGCGTTGTGTATTTAAGTTATTAAACGAATTAATTAGGTACCTGAAAAATATCTTTTTTTGGGACGCAAATCATGAGTAGCTTTTAATTCCGCTTGGGTTAATTTTGAATTGCATCTAATTGTATAACAAATTTCATATGAATCCAACCAATAGAAAACGACAACAACAAATGTTATATTTATTCTATTTTAAGATGGATTGAATCCTAAGTATAATTTAAATATTTTTATTATTTAAATAACCTATACTAAGTTTAAATCCTTATAATTTATATAAATAACAGGTTTTTTAATATACCATGTTTCTGATAACAGTATTAAACTTTCTTACAATTTTTTTTTTCACTCAATTGTTCCAAATAATCCCTTGAATGCCCCACATTATCCATTTATTAATTTTTTGTCTAATGGGCAGAGGAGAATGGCATTATTATATTTAAATTTTAAGGATTTTTGGCATTTGAATAATTTTATGATTTTGTTTTCACTAAGTTATTAAATTATAAAAAATATTGTATATATTATATGAATAATTGCATTTAAATAGTATACTGCACACAGATGAAACCAGGGAATTTAGCAAATGATAACTGATAAAAGAATTAGGTTTAATGTGAGAAGATGGCAGTAAAGCCACCCACTGATGAAACATTTATTTTATAGTTATCAAAAATGTTTAAAACATTGTATTAAATTCAGAGAGGAATAATAAAAAATTTTAAAATTTAAATGTTTAAATTCAATCTTTGATGATAGGAAAACTAATCTATCATTATCTATTTTTTGTTCCAGAAGGAGAAGTGTCTTAAGAAAATTTTTAAAATTCAGAAAAACAAATAAAATGTAGAAAAAAATATTTCCAATTATTATTTGTATAATCTATAGTGGTCAACTATATTATTTGTACATGTATATAAATAATATAGGAATGTGCACATTACACACATACACAAATTAATGTAACTATAAATAAATTTGAAACTAGATGAACCGTCATTCTCTATTATTCATTATTGTAAAAAATGTTCAAATAAAACTAGTTATCTTACCCTTACTAGTTAGATTACCCTTACTGGTATGATAAAAAAAATACGAAAACCACATGAATTCTAAAAATTTAAATAACATGAAAAATTGTCTATTGAAAATTAATATTTCTCAGTATGTGTAAAACTTTTAGTATTATAATTTTGATTGACAATTTAGGATATCAGGTGCTAATATAAAGTTATACCTAAAATTAAATAAAAAATGCAATTAATCATATTTAGTAGAATAAGTGTATAATATATTCAATATTGTAATAAAACAATATGTAATCATACATTTGCTAATTGATCTTTTTTATCACACACAAGTTCAAAAAAAAAAAAAAATATATATATATATAACGATAAAAAATACAAACTCAGACTGTCAAGTCATTTATGATATTAATTAACTTATTGTCTAAGATTTATTATAATAAAGTCAAATAATTCAATTAATTATAAAATAACAAATTGTTCTAACAGTTAAGGTTATATAATCGTAACTTGGAGATTTTTTAAGATATCTTAATAATTTTAAATTAGTATTACATAAATACTATAGCTAATTATAGAATACAACCCATTAAAAAAAAAAAATAAGTACCAATTAATGTTATTAATATTAAACTTTGCAGTAAAATAATATAACGATAAATAATTAACAGCTAGTGTTTTATTCAGTAACACTATTTGTTCAATACTTTTGAACTAATAGCATTCAAATTAGTTTATGCATTTTAAAGTTGCCGTAATATTAAAGCTTTTTATAAACCTTAATTTGATAAATACAATATTCTTTCAATAAATAAAAATAAAAAAATAATTGAATTAGTACAATAATTATTAAAATAAAATGTACTAAAGCAATTTTTAAATTGTGTTATTAATGATAATAACTTGTATACAAGTGATGTATGAACAATTAAAAAAAAATAATATTTCATAAGTATGACTACTCTGTAATGAGATTAAAAAAAAATAAGAATTATAACTTTTAGCAACAATTATTCCATGAACGCTAATACCGATTTATGTAAGTAGTTAATAAAATTAATATAAAATAAAAATTATTTTAATAATATATTATATTTAATGTTTTTTGTATGGTATTTTGAAACACATGATTTTAAAATGATCAGCCATTTGTTTCACCTAAAATATGTAAGTTAAAAATATTATGATCCGGCATCAAATAATTTATGCAATAATAATAACAGATAAATTATTTATAAAAATAATGTAAATTAACTTACTACACAGCCTCCATAATATATGTGTGTTCCAATACTTATAAATGCCATAATGTACATACAAATTAATTCAATGGGAGGTAAAAACACACTAAAAAATATAGCTACAACCATAAGCGACAACAAATTGTTATGTGCTTCACAACGAGTCTTGCTCATTTGAGCCACAATTAAACGACACTGAAATAATAAATAAATAGTTATCAATTAAGTGTAATGTACAAACAACTGAGTATAAAGCTTGTTAGGCATTACAATTTTATTTATATATGAACATGTATATATAATGTCATTTGAACAATGTACAAAAGATATTGGATACGTTATGAGGTTTAAAACAAAAACTGTACATTGTATATCAAAATGAAAAAAAAACTAAGCAGTTTAATGTTTGTCCAATATTTGGTATTTAAAGTAGGTAAAATAAAAATGAAATATCTAAAGTATGTATGAACAAAATAACTTAAACTTTACCAAAAATTTTTCATTTATAAACTGTAAAATGTGATTAACTTAAAACATAATATAATAAATTATTAATTTAAAACAGCTTATGTTTCACTTACACAAATATTTGAAAATATTGCTCCACTCATCATAAAAAATATTCTTGGATCTCTTTCAAGAATGTTTGTAGGTGACATTTTTACCCATATCAAGCATAAAGACACAAATACAGTCAAAGGAATTAATGGTCGACTGCCTTCTAAAACACTTAGATTTTTACCTGTTTTGTCCCTGTAACTTCTATTAAAGTAATAAATAAAAATAAAGAAATTAAAATAACATTCACAAATATAATAACAAAAAATTATAAAAATAAGTTTTAACTACTTACACATAAATGTTATAAATTGAAACTGGAATATTAGTAATGAATGTGGTAAAATAAAATGTTATTTCTGTGATATGTCCAAAGGAATAATTATTTATTAAAGTCATTTTCCATTTTTCAGGACCAAAAATAGCAGTAAGACCAAAGAAAAATACTAATCCCTGAAAATGATAATAAATTTAAGATTAAAAAAAATAAAATACAATTATACGAAAAATAAATTTTTTAGATTTAGTCATTCAATTTACTTGATTGTATGAAATGAAAATGTTACTCGTTATTAATATAAGATAATATAAATATAAAAATAGGATTTAAATTATAATAAAGGTAAAATTTAATTTTAATTTAAACTTACAACCATTGAAAAGTCATAACTCCATGGCAAATATAATACTCCAGTATTATACTTTTCCCAATGAGCCAGATAAAAATTAATGAAAACCATTATGCAGATATAATACATCCGTATTGGTTGAATAGTATTTGGATCATCACGCCCAAATATTGAATAAAGTGCAGTTGGGATAAAAACAGTTGTCCAGGAATCCAGACCGTGATCAAACAGTTCACCTAAAGGACCACTTGTGCCTGTACGTCTAGCTTGTTTACCATCAAGACCATCTAAAAAAATGTTTAAAACAATTATTATAGTTTTGATTATAATAATTAAAAAAAAAAAGTCAAATATAAATACCAAGAGAATATGATATGAAAATAAATAAAGACACAACACCAAAAACCCATTTTGGTATTGGATCACCTTTGTAATTTATTCCAGATACATAAAAACCATAGTCATAATAAGCAAGGAGAAGTGAAGCTCCAACAGTAAAAAGAAAACCAACAAAAGTTAGCAAATTAGGTGCAATCCATCTTGGAATAACCTATAATTAAAAAAATAATAATGAAAATAAAAATAAAATATTTTATCAATAATAATACCTACTTTAATTAATGAGTTCCAAAATGGATGCATAATATATGTACCCAATGGATTTGTATCAATTGCATTATACTGAAAAACAATTTCATTAATCAATTTAAATAAATATAAATAAATTTATCAAAAATATATAAATTGTATAGTTGTTGTATTATCTGTTTAAACAAAACTAAAATACTTAGTTTTTCATTGAAAAATATTTTAGACAATTTGTTAAGGAAAATAAAATTTCATAAGCAATTAATAAATGTTTTTAATAAGTTGATATTTAAAATCATAGTATTAATAGGTAAATACATATTAATAATTTAAACTAGTTGTAATTAGTAAAATACGAATGTTATGTTAAATATATTTTGTAAATAAGGACAGTGTTAAAATGAGATATTTTTTATTAAAATTTACTATCTAAAAATGATTAATTTTCTTTCTTTTTTTACTTCTTAACACATTCAGAACAATTTTTTATGAGTATATTAATAGTTTTACCTAGAAACTTCTTATTATACTTATTAATCTATAACAACTACCTAATATATATTTCAAGTTTAGAATATTATTTTTTAATATTGTTAGTATTTAAATTGTATATCCATTTAATCATTTAAAAGTATTATATCTAATAAGTATCCATAAAAGGATAGAAATAATTAATAAAATAATTTAAGAACATATTAAAAATAAATTTAGGAAGGTTTAAAAAATTAAAAATTCTTTTTGACTTCATAAAATTAAAGAATAATATTTAGGCCAAGGTTAGTCTTAGTATAAAATATAAGGCATACAATATATAAAAGGAGCTTAGGATTTAATAAAGAATTAATTTATAGCACAGTTGTGTTGAACATATTAAAAAATAACTTTTGCTACAAAATAGATAACAAAATGTTCTTTAATTTAAAAAAAACCCCATTGTAAGGAATAATAGAATTAAGTATTAAGTAATTTTCATTAAAAATAATTTTATTCTGTTTCAATGGTATACAACAAATTTGTAAAAAAATCTTCTTTACTAAAACAAGAATTTTAAGTGTTTAAAATAATCATATCTTAATTAACAAATTATTTTTATCACTATTGCTTTATGTTTCACAAACAAATATTCCTCATGATTATGAATTATAATTGTCAAACTAAGATATATTATACCATATGAGAATATTGAATATGATAAGACTAATACTACTAATAACTAAATGAGCATGACATTAGTACATATTATGCAAGTATTTCAATTAAAAATATGTCAAGAAGCACTTACTTTGTAATTGTCAAACCCATCGAGATGGTCCTTATTAAGATATAAATTATCAAACACCATTGTGTAAACTTATAATAATGTTAAAAATTCTGTAACTTAGCTATCAATAGTTTAATTATATAAAACAAATTAATTAGGAATCACTCATAACAATTTAGCATGAAAACTATTTCATATCCGATTAACAAATAATCTAGAAGGATTTTTACCAGTTTGTTAGCAAATTAATAAAATTAATAACAGTATTATTGTAATGAATAATATTAGACGAGATAGCTGATACGTGTGGCTTATGGATTACACTTAGGTAGGATTCATTTGTAAAAAAATTTTAAATACATTTTTATTTGTTTGTACATAGAAAATAAAACTATAAAGATTCGCGGATACAGATCTCAATAAAAAAGAAACAAAGACGCATATTTATTATTTAATATTAAATTGTTAAAAAGTTGATCCTTGAACTTTGGATTGTTGTTTACTGTTTTGTACTCTTATCTCTTTTAGTCCCATTAACAGTAAAGTTAACACCGCCGGTAAAATATCATGCCAACACAGAGACCTACTCTGTGATAAGAGATAACTAATAGGTAACAGTTTAGCTTATCACTCAAAAACGTAGATCGATTAAAAGTGGTGCTTATCATTGAATACAATACCACACTGCAACTGCTGGCGCCGCTATAGAGCCACAATTTATGAAAAACTATAGTTCATAAAGCAAAAAGACCTCTCTACGATGTCTTAAGTCTTTTATCAATTGTCATGTCGATTATGCATAATACAACAACTAAGTAAATTAAATATAAACCTATAAATGTATTTATCCTATGTTTGTATGGATGTATAATAATAATTGATAATACGAATTTAAGTTAATAACAAGTAAAGTACTAAAGTACCTACCTACTTACGCCAGTCATACAAAAAAAAAAATAACATATCAATATAAAATCAGCACATTTATTGTTCTGCCCAAAATCTATAAAATATATTTATTTTACAAGCTTTTCATTTCGATATTTGTTATTAAAAAAATGTCGATAGGTAATTGTTTTTAACTATTATAATTTATAGGTACACATTTTAATCGTATTTATATATGTACCTTGAATGTTTTGATATATAATATATTATACATTAGACCTACACGATGTATACGTATATTAATATACCTAGTTTATTATATTTATTAATTTTTTTTTATATAATTTATTTTATTAAGTAACCTATTATAATAATTTAATAACAAGCTTAATTGATATAATATTGTATACATTACGGTAAACACAGAGTGAAGAGACCGCTTAGAGGAAGTATTTCGTCAAATATTTATTATTATTTTAATTTTTTTTTTCTTATAAAAATCAATAATATTTTTTAATAATTAGGTAGGTTTTTACTTTTTACCATATAATATAGTATATACTATATGAACCAAAACCACTGCTACAGTTTAGTATTTGTATTATTACATTTTCAATAAAATCTTTTAGCGGTTGCATTTTTACAAATCTAGAAAAATTTCACATTTTATTATGTAGGCGTAATTTATTATAGTTGGCATATATTATTTAGGATATAAAATACATTTAATGTCAGATTGGCATATGCTGTTTACCTACTATTTAGTACCTAAGTACAATATACATAAATATATGCTTAATGCTTTTATAGCCATATAGCCTGATATAGGTACATATTAAATAAGAAATAATTATTTACAGTCATTGAATAATTCAAAATATATGAATATCAAAATGTGTTGCATTTTTTTTTTTTTTATTTAAGCTTCCTGTATACTAATTACTATTATGAGTATTATGTAGATACTAAATATAAATTACAATAACGTATTAGTATTCAGTTTGTGATTGTTATAATATTTATCTCATAAATAAATTCTAACACTGTAAAATCAGCATCGGATGTGTTATAATTTAACAATTGAACTGTTTTTGTTCTTTTAAATAGTTTTATTAAAATTATTAATTATTACGGTAAAAATTATTTAAAAATAAATATAATTCTTAATAGAAAAAATTGCATTTATTAAATTAATAATATTTAATGGTTATAAATTATAATAGCATAACTATATTTACCTATATCATGTATTTACATATTATTATTAACTTTTGAGTTAAAACCGTAGATCTATAAAGAAATGGATCGATAATAGAAAGTGAAGTCTAATAGTCAATATTGTTAAAAAAAATATAGCATATAACTTGACATCATCGATTCTATACCTATCCATTAATAACGAGATAGAGAAAAAAATTCTACCAAACAAAAATAACTTCGTTTTTAGAAAAAACCACAAACCAAGATATTGACTATCTTTTTTTAACAATATTAGTAATTAGTAGGATAGGGATCTTGCCGTTCATATATTGATGTCTTTAGTCAATACCGTAGAATAATGTAAAAAAAAAACTGAAAAAATCGAGATTTTTAAATATCCAAAATATTTATTTTGAAAATTATACCATATAAAATGCTATAATTTAATATTTGGTGAAAATTGCATATATATCTAATATTTAAATTATATTAAAATAAATCGATTTTATCAAAATCTAATTTTGGATAAAAACTAGATATTTCCTTCGTTTTAGATTTTTAACTTAGAAATAATAATACAGTTATTTTACAACAATGTATGTTTTTATTTTTGCTTAGACTGTCTGTCTAATATTTTAATATTAGTAATAAAAAAAGTATACACTATATGCTATGTTCATATTTCTATCATAATAATTTATTTTTACTTATAGTAATATCCAAATTTAATTTAATTAATTTTGTCAAAAATATTGAATTTATTATATTATTAATATTTAATTTCATACAATCCTAAAAATTTCTACTTTTAATCAAATAGCTAAACTCATAGCGTGGCACTACTTATATTGTGCCTGCTCATAAATGTTAACATTTTTTGTTGTATTACAATATTATACATCATCAAACTTACTTATTATACACAGTTACATCGTAGAGATTATGAATAAAATCTTTTTTAAATAAGTAAATATACATGTAAGTCATTACAGTAGATCGGTATCAATAAGTTCATGATATAAATAGGTAACATCATAAAATTAATCTAAATGTTTTTAAAATGTAATTTTATGTATATAAAATATAATATTTAACGTTTAAATTTTAAATCTTCATTAAAAATATTTTTGAAAACAACAAAGTAACGAAAATTGTTAACCTTTGTTTAAATACTCAATCACGTCTAAATTTTATCTTAAAATATCTTTAAAAAAGTTGTACTTATATATATTATTTTAGAATTTATTTTGATTTCAGTATGAACTATTTACGAAAAACCTTGTACTTAAACCTCGTATTACATTTTCAAGCTTTATCTAAAAATATTTAACATTCTATACATTTTGAACTACACTATAATTTTCAAATTTTTGTCACTTAGACGAATTTTGTTGAGCACCTATAAAACACACACACACATATTATTGTAAAATTAATTTATTCATTGCTCCACTCAAAATTTAAAACACACAATATTATTGAAAAACAATACACGTTATTCAATACACAATACTCATTCAGCTAAGAATCTAAGAAATTATTTATATTTAAACCGTTTAGAGTTAATTAAAATCTCAAGATAGCCAATAATTATTAGAGCCAATTTATATAATTATTTTAAGAGCTAAATTAATCAATTAGTAATTTAATTTTGTATTTAAATAATTATCTACGAGTAGTAACATCTAAGCAGAAAACTTGTATTTATGTACCTATAAAATATGCTGCGTAAGCGGGTGAGTATGTACGAGAACAAACATAAAAACATTGCGTAAAACCATGGACCCATACATAAGAGTGCATGAAATACGATATTCGTTGATATTTGATACTCGTTTAGTCATTTAATTACATTCAAGATGAGGTCAACGTCGATTTTCATTATGTGCATTGCATTTTCGTCAGCAGGTAACATTTGAACTATTTAAGGGAGTTTCCTGAGATGATATAAATTTTTTTTTTAGCAAAACTCCCCCTTTTCACTGTGAACTATATAGTAAATATTTTTTAAAAATGTTAATGTATTTATTCAAAATTTTAGCAAGTGGTTTCTCAGTTATAATTAGAATATTTTTTCTTTGGATAATAGGCCTTAAAAAGGGTTTATAAAATATGTTATTTAATAATAAATCTAATATTTATTTTAAAATTATAATTATCGATAGATTAACATATTGTTCACTAAAATTTTAAAATTACCATAATTCCCATTTCTTCCAAACCCATTAAGTATCATGAACCTATTATATTATCTTTAGTAGTTGGTATACAATACAAAAATCTTTTACTTTACTGTAGGTAAACTGTTATATAACTCAAAAAATGTTTCTTCGAATTTTGATTTAGATAAATAACATTTGTAGAAAAAATGTACGCTAATAATTTATAAATAAAATGAGGGTTCTCATTAGAAAAATAGTAGTTTGTATTTTCACAAAACACTCATTAAATAGTACAAAATATCTCAAGAATTTGAAAAATAACGTATTAAATTATATAAAATAAATTTCAAAAATCATACATTGAATTTAACTACTTACATTATAGAAGAAGAAAAAGGGATTGAGTATACTTGGTGAATCATCATCCTTTATAATAGACAAGGAGAAAAAAATACTTTTGTATAGAAAGGCCTATATTTTGTGGAGCTCTAGGTGTTGAGCTCCATGACTCCTTAACCCTGTCCAAAGACCCCGGCTAAACAACGGTATAATCCTATCTTTCGATCTATTTAAGACACTTTATTAGCTTCGAGAAGTAATGTAAATGATTGCCACAATATGTGCAACGTGCAGTTATTTTCTGGAAGAAGTGGATTTGGGACAGGTTGTGAACTACCCTCTGAAAGTGATACGGGAGAACGTGACGTCGACCATCAGAGTAGTCGTCCAGCCATACGTGCAGTACGGAAACCGGTCAGACCCACACTTATCCCGGCCACCGCAGATCGGCTGAACGATGGCCGATCCTTCGCAGTCAGCGACCTATTCGTCGATGGCCTGCACATCGTATTGCTGAAGCTGAATGCTATGTGAACCGAAACGAGTACGGGCGTTGTAATAGTTGCCGCCGAGCACACCTTGTACTATCTCAGTGGTATGTAAGGTATATTACGTTTAATCTGTGCGTCGTCTCAAAAGTGGTCGAACTGCAAAAGCCCACCCGCGTAACTGACTTTGTCATAGATCGGATCAATTTGAGTATTATGTACGGCATGCTCAGACCGAACTGCCTTTACTTGGCCACTGTGCAAATGAAAAAGACGACCACGTGGCTACGCGACGGTCGAGACGACGCTGGACATTTGCCACAAGTGATCACTGCGTTCGCAAACACTATCAAAGATTACTTGTCCGTCGGCACTTGCGCGATCATCGCAAAAACCTACAAGTACAATATCACAACCGATGCTAATGAACTTGGCCAATATTA